GAGCAACATAGAAAGAGAGAGCAGAGAGAGGAAGCACCCACCAGAGGGAGCCAAAGCTCACAGGAGACCAGCAAAAAGCAGCAGGAGCTTGCACAACAACTGTGCTGCAACTGTGCAACCTGCCACTGAACCCGCCCTCCCCTGCCCGCTTCTATTTGCACTGTGATGACTGCTGCGTTTGTAAGGTCATGGAACTTGTCTGCATTGACTTTGAGAGGCAGGAGGAGCAGGAGACCAGGTGGCGTGGCAGTGGGTGGCAAAGAAAAACTTTTTTCATTTTGCTTCTCACTCTACTAAACTCTACCTGTCGCGCCCTTACTCTCCCTTCGTCTCTCTCCCTCTCCAGTGGAGGAGGAGGTGGACAAACTGTGTTTTCATTTCTGCGCCGCTACGCGCTTTTTGATGCCGCCGCCAACAAGGCAAACAGTTGCTCCTGTTTCTGCCCCTGCTGCTCCTGCTGCACCCATTGGCACTCCTACCACCCTTTGGTCGGACGGTGGCTGTTTCCCAGCTTTTCATGGCGAGTTTTTCAATTGATTTTCGCGGTTTGCTTTTTGCCTTTGCGAAGCAGCCAAGGCCACCAGAGCCAGAGCCATGTTTCCGCCGACTGTTGCACCTGTGTGAGCCCTTCTGGAGTTTTGTTGCTGCTGCTTCAACGCTTCTTTGTGTGATAGATGCAGCAGCAGTGGCAGCAGCAGCAGCAGCAGAGGGGCAGAGCCATAGAAAAGTTTAAGTGCTTTGTGGGCAATTTTTTTTCTCTCTTTTTTTTGGCTTTTTTTCCAAGATTTTCCTTATGTTTTTTTGCTGCTCAACGAACGATTTGGAGCCGTTTTGTGTATGAAGACCTCTTTGGACTGACGTTTTACTTCTGCCTCCCTCTCGCTTTGATTGATTGATTGATTGGCCACCATCATGGGGCGGCGATAAGCATTCGATTAGCATTCTCTTTGAGGTCGCAGAAAGCGGAAGAGAAGATGCGATGCGATGCTGCCCGCCTCCTCTCTGTGGTCTCTCATTGTTTGGTTTAATTGCTCATCAACATTAACCCTTCTCTGCCTGCCTGCCTCCTCCTCTGGCAGTTAAATTTTATTTCCCCTCCTCCTTTCCCACTCTCTTCTATTTTTGTGTGTATTTTGTTTTTGGCTTTTTGTTGAATCAAGTGAGAGATTTCTTGATGGGCGGAAATTGGTTTTAAAATTTGTTTAAGACTCAGCACCCACACCACACACACACACACACACCTCTGGGGGAGAGGAGATCTCTGCTTTGGGGGCAACTGTACTTTCTGCAAAAACAACACTTGCCACATGTCTGTGTGCCTTTTTCTCTTGTTGCTGTGTTTAATTAAAAAACAGTCACAGGCACAGTAAGCAGGTTGCAAGCAGCAGAGCAGCAGTAGTTGTCGCCGTTGCATGTCTGGGATGTTGTCTTGTTGTCGCGCTACCAACTTTGGTCACAGCTTCCGCTGCTGCTGCATGCTGCATGGTGCATGGTGCATGCTGCTTGCTGTTGCCGTTGCGACCTCTTTAGTGCATTGAAGCGCAGAGCCATTCACCAATTTCCAGTTGTTGCTGGTGGCACGCACTTGCAGATCGACAGAGATCTACCTCGCTGCACCTTCTCCTCTCTCTCTCGCTCTTCTCTGTGCGTCAAGTCTTTGGCAAACATGGCCAAGAGTCAGGCAGGCAGGCAGGTCTCTAAGCCTGTTGCTGTTGCTGTGGCCATGTTGCCGTGCCGCGCCAGTGGAGAGAGAGAGCAAACATCGTTGAGACTTGTTGGCATCGTGATTTTGTATAAATTCTAGACCCACAGAGCCCCACAAAAGCCCCTCTTGGCCACGCCACGCCACGCCATGAGCTGGCAAAAAAAAAAGCGATTGGCATAGCCTTTAGGTTTTTCTTTTTCCTTCAATAATAATAATAATAATTTGTTACTCGTAACGAGCTTTGAGGCCTCTGAGCCGCGCTCCACCGCTCCACGCTTGTTAACAATTAAATAAACAATATGAGTCTGCAGTAAATATTCCTCCGCTGAGTGGAGAGAGAATGGAGAGAGAGAGAGAGAGAGGAGGAGAAACAACAAATCATTAAACAAACATTAAGCCACAAACAAACATTTGGCTACCACTCAAGAGAGGCAGAGAGAGATCCGTGGAGATCCATTCGTCACCGCCACTTGAGACATTTTTCTCTATTAAAAACAATATTTATGCACGCTCTTCTCTACAGAGAAACAGTGAGAGACAGAGACAGAGAGAGAGAGGCACGTTTGCTATTATTTCCAGGCCATTTCCCATGAACAAGCTGCCCCCTTCCACGTAGAATAATCAGAATCAGTGCCGTGCCCATATCCCATAGACCAAAGCCCCCCGATTCCTGATGCTTCTGCTGCCTGCCTGCCTGCCACTTGACTCTTTGTAATAACAAGAGCATGTTGTTGCTGAACACTGGACTACTACCGCTATGGCTATGGCAACGGCAACGGCTAAATGTGGAACCCGTTGTGAAACGTGGCTTTTCCATATAGTAGTAGTACTCCGTGGTACTTGCTTGTACCCCGCCCGATATGGGTTTCCCTTCTTTTCATTTGTGCTCTCTGGTCACCCATTTTAGTCACGTTTCTTTCATTTCGAATATGATTTTCGCCTGGGCTGTTTTTGGACACAAACCAATTAGACTTTTCCCTCGTTTTGCCGTCAGCTATTTGTCGCATTGTTCTTTCGGGCCAAAAAGGTCTAATTTTCACTGCTTGAAGGGAGGAGGCGGCTTCAGCAGAAATCTGCTTGTGGTATTAATGTTGGCAGGGGAAACTTGTGGAGAAATTTATCGAATTCCAAATCTAACAAAATCTAGACCTAGATTTCTTTTTCTTTAAAGTATTTCCAAATTAAAATCCAAAAAATTCTCAAAAAATAATAGAATTTCTTGTACTTCGAATGATAACAACCAAATTTTTCCCTGAAACATTTTTATTATGTATAACCCACTAATATTTCCCACCTATTATTGGGTGTAACCGCTCAAACTTAATTACAACCTCAATAACACTATACCTTGACATATGACTGACAGATGGGCTGACGCTCTGCTGCTGTCATTTGAGAAGAGAGTGGAGGGTAGAATATTATATAAGCATCACCACAAATTATAGATGGCCTGCCCCGCCTTCCCATCCATAAGTAATAATCATCTACATATAACTAAAACAGATATGCATTTCGGTTGGCTGTCGGTAATCGATATCGGACTCACGCGCGCCTGGCATTATTTCTCACGATTCAACCGAATGTGGCTGCTGCTGCTGCTCGGATCCGATCCGATTCGATTCGATGCCTGCCCACATTTCGATATTGAATTTCAACGTTTATTTTTGGCGCTACCCTCCGCCTGCTACTCAAGCGGTAATCACAACAACAACAAGAACAACACTTGGGCTCCAAGCAACCCCCATTTTCCCATTTTCCCATTTCCCTGGCCCAAGCAATAGCAGCAGCAGTAGCAGCGTATTTACTTAATTATTTTGAAGTGCTTGGCAAACATTTTAACACGAAAAATGTTTCAGTCCGAAAGCAGCAACACTCTTTCGGGGGGTGGTGTGTAAATGGTGGGAGGGGAGGGGACTGGACCCACTACCCACTCCATTGCATGACGAACGACGGACACACACACAAAATGTTATTAATTAAAATGTCATTCATTCAGTAAATCAGAAACAATGAAAGGACTTTTCGGTAGCATAGAACAAAAGCGGCGGGAGCTGAGGATTGCAGCTGCTGTTGACAGTTTTTCCAAGGGTCTTGTCTTGCTGCTTTAAAGCTCCCTTTTAGAGGAGCTCCATTCCATCGAGAAGCAGCAGCAGCAGGGGCAAGTGGCAGCAGCTGTGGACCACACGCAGCAGAGAAGCAGCAGCAGCAGCAAGAAGGCTAAAGAGTCACTCCGTGGATGGATGCTGAAACTGAAACTGAGACAATCTGACCGCAAGAGCCAGCCACAAATATGTATGTCACTTGACACTTGCTAAAAACTGTGCTCCAGCAGCAAGTGGAGACTAAAGTATCTTGTAGATAAATTTCGTGACTTTGAACAGAAGCTCTGCTTAAATTGCCCTTCACTGCTGGAGCACTTGCTGTCCAGCTGTCAATTTGTGGATCTCTTTCTCGGTTACAGCTGCCTGGCTGACATTTTGGGGTTTACCACAAACTGTTGGGGATATCATGTCTTGGATATTCATGTTACGGCTAGCAGCAGCAGCAGCAGATTCACGTTCCCGTAGATAGGCAGCTGACACAGAAAACAAAAAAGATGCCCCACTCTCTTCGTCTCCCTCTCTTTCTACAGCATTTTGACTGACGCGTCAAGTGAGCAATTGTCTTGAATTAATTTCTGCCTCATCACATCCCCATCCCCATTCCCAATCCTCTTTCCATTTATCCATCAGCCATTTCACACCCTTTCTGGGCAAACACTTTGATCAGCAGCAGCAGCAGGCCATGCAGTGGATGCAGTCCACTTCCCGACCAGCAGACGCCGTCAAATTTAATAAAAATCACTGATTTTGATTGATGCGCCTCCAGAGGGAGGTAGAGGGAGTCGTCCCATCAACACCATCATCAGAGTTCCCTTTAGCAAATATTGTTGCAAGGGTTGCAGCAGCAGCAGCAGCATGGCGGGGGGTGGGGGGAGTACGTACTGGTTGACATGTGACATCGGACGACATGTCCAAGTGTTCGCCTCGACGCCGCTCAATTGAAACAAATGAAGCACAAGAGAAGTCCGTTTCACTCCAGAGACAGGAAAGAGCATTTCACAACAGCAACTTGTCGACGCCTCTCCCATCAGCGATGCCCCCAGAGCTCTCTTTAGAGCTTTTCTTTTTTGTTTGTCTATGAAATCAGTTGATATTTAACCCTCGGATAGTTAAGGTCTTACAGCTAGAGATTTAAGGATTCATCTATATTTTTCTTGTACTAATTGTATCTTTTATCTCTGTTGTATTTACAGCTAGGCCAGGCCGTTTGTCGAGCGTTGACAATTTGACGCTGGAAGCTACGGAAGAGAATCTGAAGAGAATCTGCTTTGCATTCGCATTTATTCCCCTATCCAAAGACAGGGAAGAGTGTTAGAGAGAGAAACGCAGAGCCAAAGCCACCCCAAGGGTGCGTCCCCACACTCACAAAAAGAACTCAAGCTTACAGAAAGCTCAAAGCTACAAAGCTACGCGCTCAACATGAAGTGCCACAAGAACAACCGAGTGGCAGGACTCGTAGTAGTGCTATTCCTGTGCCTCAGCAGCGGCGGCAGGGCACTGCCAGACAGTTCACAGCACATTCCCGACCATGGCATGGGCATGGGCATGGGAATGGGATCCCACGGCATGGACGTGAGTCCTGCGCCCGGGTATGGCGTGCCAGCCATACCCAAGGACCCGAACTCGCGGTGCGAGGAGATCACGATACCCATGTGCAGGGGCATCGGCTATAATATGACATCGTTTCCCAACGAAATGAACCACGAGACGCAGGACGAGGCGGGACTGGAGGTGCACCAGTTCTGGCCCCTGGTGGAGATCAAGTGCTCGCCGGACCTAAGTTCTTCCTGTGCAGCATGTACACGCCGATCTGCCTGGAGGACTACCACAAGCCGCTACCCGTGTGCCGCAGCGTCTGCGAGCGGGCGCGTTCCGGCTGTGCCCCCATCATGCAGCAGTACAGCTTCGAGTGGCCCGAGAGGATGGCCTGCGAGCACCTACCGGTGCACGGGGACCCGGACAACCTGTGCATGGAGCAGCCCTCATACACGGAGGCGGGTGGCAGCGGTGGCAGCAGCAGCGGCGGATCGGGCGGATCCGGCAGCGGCTCTGGAGGATCGGGCGGAAAACGCAAGCAGGGCGGCAGCTCCGGCGGCAGTTCGGGCGGTTCGTCGACGTCCAACAAGTGCCGCGGAAGGAATTCAAAAAACTGCCAAAATCCCCAAGGGGAAAAGGCAAGCGGAAAAGAGTGCGCGTGCTCGTGCCAGTCGCCGCTAATCTCCCTGGGGAAGGAGCAGCTCCTGCAGCAGTCGCCCATGCGGCACCATCACTGGTACATGAACCTCACTGTCCAAAGGATCGCCGGCGTACCAAACTGCGCCATTCCGTGCAAGGGTCCGTTCTTCAGCAACGACGAAAAGGACTTCGCCGGCCTCTGGATCGCCCTGTGGTCGGGCCTATGCTTCTGCAGCACCCTCATGACCCTAACCACATTCATCATCGACACCGAAAGGTTTAAGTACCCGGAGCGGCCCATTGTCTTCCTCTCCGCCTGCTACTTCATGGTGGCCGTCGGCTATCTCTCGCGCAACTTCCTGCAGAACGAGGAGATCGCCTGCGATGGGCATCTGCTCAAGGAGAGCTCCACCGGCCCCCACTCGTGCACCCTGGTCTTCCTGCTCACCTACTTCTTTGGCATGGCCTCCTCCATCTGGTGGGTGATCCTCAGCTTCACCTGGTTCCTGGCCGCTGGCCTCAAGTGGGGCAACGAGGCCATCACCAAGCACTCGCAGTACTTCCACCTGGCCGCCTGGCTGATACCCACCGTCCAGTCGGTGGCCGTGCTTCTGCTCTCCGCCGTCGACGGCGATCCCATACTGGGCATCTGCTACGTGGGCAACCTCAATCCGGACCACCTGAAGACCTTCGTGCTGGCGCCGCTCTTCGTCTACCTGGTAATCGGCACGACCTTCCTGATGGCCGGCTTCGTGTCCCTCTTCCGGATACGATCGGTGATCAAGCAGCAGGGCGGCGTGGGCGCCGGCGTCAAAGCCGATAAGCTGGAGAAGCTGATGATCCGCATCGGCATCTTCTCCGTACTTTACACGGTGCCTGCCACCATTGTCATCGGTTGCTATCTGTACGAGGCCGCCTACTTCGAGGACTGGATCAAGGCGCTGGCCTGTCCCTGCGCCCAGGTGAAGGGTCCCGGCCGTAAGCCCCTCTACTCCGTGCTGATGCTCAAGTACTTCATGGCCCTGGCCGTGGGCATCACCTCCGGCGTATGGATCTGGTCCGGCAAAACGCTCGAGAGCTGGCGCCGCTTCTGGCGTCGACTGTTTGGGGCGCCAGATCGCACTGGGGCCAATCAGGCGCTGATTAAGCAGCGACCGCCCATTCCACACCCGTACGCTGGATCCGGAATGGGCATGCCCGTGGGCTCGGCGGCTGGATCGCTGCTGGCCACGCCCTACACACAGGCTGGAGGCGCCTCGGTGGCCAGCACCAGCCACCACCATCTGCACCACCATGTTCTCAAGCAGCCGGCGGCCAGCCACGTATGACATGGAGAGTCGGGAGGAGCTTCAACCATGGGCGGTGGTGGCGGCGGCGGCAGCACCATTGGCGGCGGCAGCGTGCTGGGCGGACACGGCACGGGCATGAGCAATAGTACGGTTGGCATGGGAGCTCCTCCTGGCAGCTTGATGCACGGCGGCGGCGCCAATGGCGGCGCCCCCGGCAATATCTACGGCAATGGCAATGGCGGTGTGGGTGTGGGTGGCGGCGGACAGAGTACGGCACCAGGTTCGGTGATTGATTCGAGGGCCGTCTCCGTGGTGGTGACACTGCCCGGTGGTCCGGGATCCCAGCATCAGGGGCAGGCGTTGAGCGATTACGGTCCCATATAGTTAATGGTACGCCCGGACACCACGCACTGGGTCTCGACGAGTAGCTTCAGTCAGTTGTAAGTCCTTTCACTCACTCACTCGCACTCGCCACACTCTCCATCTCTGTCTCACTGTGTGTCTGTCTGTCTGTCACTCTCACACGTAGTAGTATCCACACACACACACACACTCTTTCTGTCTCTCATTCGCAAAGGTTTGAAGCAATTGCCATATTAATTCTTGTAGCTGTAGATTTGTTTTTAGGAGGAAAACGCAACAAAATAAGCAACACTCTGCATTAAGATTCTAGTCCAAAAACCTTTGTCATCGATATAGCAGATAACCGATAGGAGATAGTCGATAGCCAGCGATAGCAGACGAGAGCAAAGTGCAGCGAAACAGCACCGTGTGAGCAAAGAGAAAAGGGGGAGAAAGTCGAGAGCGAAATCAGAATTACGGAGAGCCAAATTGAAGATCAAATCTAGATCCAGAAGCAGTCGCGCGGTCTGTTCCATCCCTACCATAATCGAGAACTACTTTCCTATTCCTAATTATTTATACACAACAGCCTTTGTTCTAACCCAATCACACACACACGCACACCAACACACTTTCTTCAACGAAATAGACTGAGAAATGCAAAAACCAATTAAGAAGTAACATACGCGGGGGGTTGAAACGGCGAATAAACGAAGGAGATCTGCGTAGAGTAGAAAGCACTCTGCCCCACACACTGCCAAGTCAGAGCCACGAGCCATATTTCGAAATTACAACTAACTTTTAATCAAACTAACTAAACTATTAACCTTAACCTAAACATAAACACACAGAAACGTAAACTAAAACAAACAAAAAAGAACAACAACAGATAAAAACCCTTTCGAATGAACGTAGAAATACATTTAAAAATATAAAGTTGCGATTCTACGGTTGTCGCATTATCAAAGAGCAGGGCGAAACATTTGCCAGTTACCATTTGTAAATTATTTAATCTAACCTTTAAGCCATTACCCAACACTAAGTTTTGTACATAGTATTTTCGAAAACGCCGCTTAGTCTGTAAACGAACATTTTTTTGAGACGTGTCGAGACGAGATGAGAGGAATCCCTGAAACTAAAATAGAAATTGCATTTCAAGCATCAAGCGCAACTCTGCATTTAAGCTCAAAAATTGAATTTAATTTTTACAACAAAACCCGACCCCCCTGTCCGATTTTCCCTTAACATATATATATATATTAAAATTGCCAACATTTGCATCCGAAAAGCAGGGCATTTTTTTGCATTTAAAAAAGAAGCAAAACTAAAAATTGTATAAAGCTAAACATTTATATAAGAGTATTAAAATTAAATTGTAATCGTAGTCGTAAACGGAAAAAAGAAAAAAAAAACAAACAAAAATATCTATCAAGCATTAAAAATTAAAAACTATTGTATTTAAACTTAATATTTATATATATATATTATTGTATACAATATATGTATGTGTATGTATTGTATGTATATGCATGGTAAAAGCGACAATTTAACTGTTGGCATTTGAAACCATTTCACATACGAAAAAAAAGAAGAAGAAACCTTTAAATTACGAGCATAAATTATATGATATAGCAACAACTACCATATGTGTGTAATGTTTTTTAGCAACTATAAACTATTTCTATAAACAAAACGAAAAATATGCAAAAGCTGTAATAAAAAAAACACATACAATTATTTAACTCTTGATTTTGATTCTCTATTGATTTGAGTTCCTGAGTTTCTTATGCATGAAAAGTAAGTAAATTTGTTATTTCAGCTTTGCTTTGTTTGTTATTTATTTATTTTTTACTATTTCTTGTGTGATTTCTTATTGACTTTTAGCATTTACAAGAGATTCCCTCGACACTTATACGTATCATTAAAACGAAGCTCTCCAAGTTAAGCAAACAAAAACGCAGAAACCAAAACCAAAACCAAAAACGAGTAAACATTAATTAGCAAATTTCTCTACACGACGTACAATGTTTAATATACATATTATAAATATTGAACACGGCGGAAAGCAGAATCCATAGCATTACCAGATACCAAATTTATGCGTAACTATTTGATGTTGTTAATAAGCTTACAAAAATATTGCTAGCTAGTAGCGTTTAGTTTAGTTTCATGGGAATTCGGGTCGTCCCATTGGACGCTTTTTCCCACTTTAGTTTGAGGCGTAAATAGCAAACGCTTTTATCTATTATAATAAATATAAAATACAAAAAAATATTAAAGGCTAAAGAGTGTAACGAATATACGTAAATGGGATAAAAACCAAATGAAATGAAAGGCAGAATGTAAAAAATAATTAATGCAAATATTATTCAGTTTAAGCGACTCGACTCGAAACAGTTTCCGTTGATTTTTTGTGATTGAAAATTCATTTACTAAATTGATGAACCGATGAAATTGATTGCAATTTGCGAATGTATACGATTTTTTAATTTTAATAAAAAGGAAACCTATAAGCGAAAATATTTCACAATGGAGTGGATTTTAAAAAAAGGATAATGCTGAGCGAAAAGGATAGAAATAGGAGGAAAGGTGATTGATCGATTAGTTGAAGTTACACAGAAACCAGAAACTTGACGTCAAGTGTAGTTGTGAATTGTATTTTGTGAAATGTTTAAAATTAAATAAAATCCAAAAAACCAAAAACAAATTCTATATACAACATGAAAACCATTTTAAAGATACAATATATAAATCAAAACCATAACGAAGCGATGTTATAAATTGTGAATCAATTTTTACAACACCAAAAAAAAAAAAAATAACACGAAAAGACGAGAATCAAATGCGTTATCACAACCGAATATACGAAACAGCAGCAGCAGCAACAACAAACAACAATAATATTAAATACATTTGTAATTGAAAAAGAAAAACCATTTAAAATAAAATTTAACAGCATAAGATGTGCAGTTTCTTTTAACGACAATGGGCACAGAAATCAATTGATTGCCTCAAATGGCCAGTGCGGCCCTGGGCAATAGATGGATGGATAATGGGAGAAGCTGGAGGAAAAAAAGCGTTCAGGCTATAGATTGTTTCAATCAATAGTGTTTGTTTTTACGCTTGGGGCATGTTATATATCGATTGATATTAAAAAGGGCAATATTCTTATTGTCATTGAGTCCAAAGTGACTGAAACTTATCGGGGATATTCTGCCGATCACGAGATGGCATGGCACGTTTAGATCGGATGAGAAGGGACAAAGTTATGCAGTCAGCAAAACCATACAGTATATGTAAGTGCTCGCTGACAAAAGCTGACTGATATGAAAAAAATATATTCGAATTGCTCACTGACAAAAGCTGACTGATATGAAACGAAAATTTAATTGCTTGCTGACAAAAGCTGAATGATATGAAACTTTTGAATGCTCGCTGACAAAAGCTGACTGATATGAAACGCTCACAAAAGTACTATTTTTATGCTCACTGCGCTGCCGACGGGGCTTACTGACAAAAGCTGACTGATGTGAAACTTTTTAATGCTCACTGACAAAAGCTGACTGATATGAAACTATTTGATGCTCACTGACAAAAGCTGCCTGATATGAAACTTTTTAATGCTCACTGACAAAAGCTGACTGATTTGAAACGAAAAATTAATTGCTCGCTGACAAAAGCTGACTGATATGAAACTTTTTAATGCTCGCTGACAAAAGCTGACTGATATGAAACTTTTCAATGCTCGCTGACAAAAGCTGACTGATATGAAACTCTTAAATGCTCGCTGACAAAAGCTGCCTGATATGAAACTTTTTAATGCTGACTGACAAAAGCTGACTGATATGAAATGAACAATTAATTGCTCGCTGACAAAAGCTGACTGATATGAAACTTTTTAATGCTCGCTGACAAAAGCTGACTGATATGCAACTTTTCAATGCTTGCTGACAAAAGCTGACTGATATGCAACTTTTCAATGCTCGCTGACAAAAGCTGACTGATATTAAACTCTTAAATGCTCGCTGACAAAAGCTGCCTGATATGAAACTTTTTAATGCTCACTGACAAAAGCTGACTGATATAAAACGAAAAATTAATTGCTCGCTGACAAAAGCTGACTGATATGAAACTTTTTAATGCTCGCTGACAAAAGCTGACTGATATGAAACGAAATTATTTAATTGGTCTGTATGATTAGTGGCAAAACACACAAGATTTTCAGGCTGATTACGTCTAAAAAGTATTTTTTGGGGTTGGGTGTGTTTGAAAATTATGAAGCATGCTTTCAGGCTGAGCATTAGTATATCCTTGGTCCTGGATAAGGACTCCATCAAATCAAAATCATATGACCGATCGTTTGGCAGCAAGGCAAATTGCGTTGCTAAATGATATTTTCAGTCAAATGCCTATAATTGCGATCCTTATCACCTCAACCTGAAAATCTGCCATTTTAAAATAAATCCCAGCCCAAAAAATACATCATACATTTTGCATCCTGTTTTCGAACCATTTTTTATTTGAAAAAGCTCACTGTTAAGCTGATGGGAAGAATTATCCATTGAGGTGGCAACATGCCATCAGAGATGGACTAAAATCGAAAGTTAAATTTAGTACAATAAAATAAACTAACTGCTGTTATTGGTTTACGACCAAAAGGTGGAGCCAGGAAAAAGTTTTTAACCTACGAAAGTCTTTCAATTTTCAACGTACTTTCATTAATTACATTTTATGTTTATTATAAACGCTTGGGCGTATCCTTGAAGCTTAATTAATATAATTTGAAAAGAGTTATATAAATTAATACTTATACGAAGACGGTGTTACTACATCATTCATCATCGCCTCGCCGGGCCATGGCTGCAAAAAGAGAACTTTCAAAATATAAGTACATTGCAATTATTTTTCAATTATATGGACTTGCCAATGTTGTCGGACACTCAGCGAGGGCCAGCCAGACTGCCACGTCCTTGCCAAAGTATTAAAACACGAATTTTCGCATGGAATGGCAGACAAAATATATATGTATAAGTAGTGCGGCTATATGTAACGCTTATATCTACTTACATACTTATTTTTAGTGCCAGCTGAGCGGATCGGAGCGGAGCGGAGCAGAGTAAAATAGCTGAGATGGCCTTACATGCATAAATATTTCAACCGACTTCTGCCGCTGCTTTGCTTGTTGCCATTTTCAAGAGCAAGGCGAGCCGTAACAAGGTCTCTGCTGCTGCTACTGCTGCTTCTGTTGCCACAAGCGAAAACTATTCGCAGACTCGTGTGAGGACAAAAGTTATGCCTCCCGCCGCAGCACACGCAGCCTCCCCTTTCTATTCATCTGGTCAACAGGTTGAAAAACGAGAACATTTCTAAAAGTTTCTGAAAGTTTCCAAAACGAAAAATTAGAGCCCCCTAGACCCTCTTAGGACACTCGTGGCCATGGGAATTCAATTAGTACAACTAGCGCTAATTAATCTCAAATTGAAAGCTTTCCACTTGTTGAGAAAGGTTTTTCGAAAATGCCAAAACCATTGTCCAGGCCTTGTCTGGCCTCTGCTTACGCCTCTGCCACAAACACAGCCACTGCCACTGTTATGCTAATACACATGCACATGCCTCACGTGCCAAAAAGCTCCGCACGTGTACTGCCGACCACGCTGCAGCGTCATAAGGTGGCAGGAGACGCACACGGACAGGCAAAAGCTTTCACTGTCAATAGCAACAGCGTGCCCCAACACGAGCTCCACGAGCTTTGGCCGACTCCAACGGGCAGCATGGACAACAGTTTGTTGCTCAAGCTGTTCCCGAACGGACGTTCCCTCAGAACCGTTCGGAACACCACCCCAGAGTGCATCATAGTTTTGTTTCTGTTTCTGTTTGATATTCGGATTTAGATTCGGATACGGATAGTAGTAGTTTCCCCTCCATCCAACTGCGTGACGGGAAACGTATAAGCGGGAGTTGGCAAAGCCGTTGGCAACTCCAGCCCGAACAAAACAGACCGCCGAAGAGTGGAGTGCGGAGTTGAGTTCGTTGGAATTTTTGTGTGTGTTTTCGTGTCGTGGGGCGTAAAGTAAAGTAAAGTTCTAGGTTTTGATGTTCAGTGTGTGTGTTTGTGTGTCTAAATATTTAAATACTAAAATGAAACAAACAAAATCAAACAACAACTACAAAAGCGCCAGCAATGTGAAGAAAAAATGGAGAGTGCCACTACCTTTGGGCCAGGCAAAGAATCAAGCGTCTTTGGGGAGGCAAAATCAGCTGCCAAGTCAGCACATGTTAGCACAAGCGGGAGTTTACTCTCGCAACATGCAAAGTCCACATTAGATGTGTCTAGATGGCTAAGTGACTTGAAATTCCGGGCCAAAAGGACCAACATGACCAGCAGATTAGCCATAGTTTGAAGTACCTTTAGAGCTGCTAAGTTATCTGAAAATTACCTGTACATTAATTTCCACATTCCACATTCCTTTAATATGCATATCCTGAGAGACTGACTGCCAGTCAGTACAGCCAAACACTTGTAATTAACATGGAAAATTAACTCAGAGTCGGCAAATGTGTTTTGGTCAGGAGTTTATTACAAAAGCAACAGGAAAGGCTGACATTTCCCTTTTGTAGATTAAAGGAATATTTAAGAGGATTCTTTAAAAAGTTCTCGTTTCAGAGAGAATTAAGGATCAGGGAGATAACAAAAACCAAACAATCTGAAAATGTACGAGGAGAACTGTAACCATTTTAAGAATTAACCATGCAAATAAAGAATTTTTTTTCTTATTATTTACTAAACTTAATTAAAGTTTTGCATATTCTCGAATTGAATTAACATACATAAAACAGTTACAAGCAGTGTGATCAGCACTGGTTCTGGCTCGTAAACCATCAAAAAAGTTATAACAAACAATAAAAACCATTTGACTCTAAGCTTTTCTTGGACAGCGTGGATTTAGAAATTCTATGGCCGCGTTGATATGACTACTCCAAGGCCATCCGTTATTCACTCAGCGTTCTGTCAAGAGTTTGGCTGTAGCCTCTGTAGTCCATACTCATCTAGTCCTGTTTTTGGACAGAGTTCTGCTTCTGTTTCTGTTGCTGTTGCTTTGGAAATAGCCAAAGGCTAGAACTGCCAAGGCTATCTGCATTTCAAATGACCAACGCAACAATGAGAGGACTGCGAATCAACAAAAGAGGAGTGCCACACTAGAGAGGAACGACAAAACAAAACAAAAACAAAAACAAAAAAAAAACATCACCAGAGACAGAGAACTGAGAATTGTCGCATGCGGAACTTAGAGAGCGAAGCAGGAGCAGGGGCAGTGGCAGTGGCAGTGGCAGGGGAGTGGGTGGCACAGTGGCTACTTAAAAACAGCGCACACATGACGTCATTAAGCATATTAAATGAGTTTACAACGCGCTGTTAGCTGGCATTTGCTGGCGTTGTTGCATGGGTCACACACACACACACATGCAGTGGTGTACTCGTAGATGAGGCGCAAAACGGTAAAAGGCCATTAACGAACGCCTAATGGCGCACTTGAGACACTGTGCCACTGTGCCACCAAAGGGGCGTGCCACGGGATATAGGGTTAGGCTGAAACGGATAACGAGAATGGATCTGTCCGGGCAGAGTTTGGTTGGCTTTAAACGGCCAAGCGGGGCACGAAACAGTACTCGTAGCATCCCATCACCGCCCACCCGACCCGACTCTCCATTTCTCTTGTTTTTTCGTGCGCTCAAATGAAATTGAAATATTAAATATTAATCCAATTCAAGGAAGAAATCACATCATCCGTGTTCGTGCATCCATCCAAGTGTCGCGGAAAAGCCTAATGCATACGAGTACATACATACATATATGAAATGATCAACCGAAGGGCAATTTATCAGCATCCCAGAAGTGTACTCAAAAAAGTGTAAAGCAACAAAGATACAAGATACAACCGAAACAAAGGAAAAACGCCAACAACTAACAACCCGACAACAGCAATAACAATTTGTCAAACACACACACACACACTCACATAATATACGCCTGTACATGCAGACACACCAAACACATACACTCACACGTAAACATATTAAACCTTAAAATATATCACGCGCGCTTTAAACGCCTCAGCTTTCAGGATACGGAATTAATGACATGGCCCAGCCAATGGAGATGCAGGCGGAGCTGCTGAACCTCATGGAGAATCATGTGAAATGGTGAGTCGCACATTAATTGACACTGACCCTGGCAGTGGTGTGATGCAGCAAGGAGAGCCACGAAAAGCACGTGACGTGACGCACACACTACTATGTGCTATCCGTATTTGGAACAGATATATCCCACGAACCAATCAATACTATCGAGTTAGCCCCCAAAAGAATGCCAATGCGAGTAGCAGTGCGACTGCGAGTGTTAGTGTTAGTGAGTGAGTGTTGTCTGAAAAGCACGTGGATTTCATAAAATATGCACAGCAATACATATTTGAACAGTCAAGCAAGAAGGGAAAGGAAGTGCAGAACAGAGCCACAAGCGGATTCAGGGCCAGCTTAACGGCCATTTCTTTGGTTTTTGACCTGTGCACAGATACAAATACATATACTTATATGTATATATACGCAAACAGGTGTGCTTGTGCGCTAGTGTATCAGTAGCATATATTTTACATGAAATTATGTGCTCACTAAAGATTCTTTTTGGCCCTTGCACCATAAAACAAGCTCTTTATATAGGCAAAAGTCGCTCCAGTAGCAACTGCTCCTTTTGTGTGCTGCCAGTGTGTCTGTGTATGTGTGTGTGTGTGTAGGAATAATGAAATTATAATCCGTATTACTGGTTAACAAGCATCAACTAAATGGAGGATTAGCCGGGAGTGCTGTTTGATGAACTAAATGAAGCTGTGGGGGGATATCAAGTGGTAGATTATTCTGAATTTAACGCTTAACTGCTCAGCCGGGATGAGATTTTACTCGATGCTCTGAAGGTTGAGTGTTATTCATGCAGTTTGATTCGTGATTCCTGATATTGGATAACACAAACATCATTCAATTCAACACAGATAAAAGGATCAGAGGATAATCCCTCTTAACTGAAAAATGTCTTCTTAGCGTTTACCGTGAATGTTAAACTCAATAAACGCTAGTTGGTTAAAAGGTTCAATAATGGTATTTTAATGACGTAAATTTCCATCATTTAAGGATAATTAATTAAGAAGCTTGGTGGCCTTGCTTCTGCCACTGCCTCCTGGCATGGTTCTGTTTCCTGCTTCATGCTCTTCAATATCCCCTCTATTTATCATACAAAATATTCCCCTTGGGTATGTAGATATATATACATACATACTTTTACCTTTTATATAAACTATTTTATTTGGCAATATAATTCGCTAAGCTGCCAGAATATAATTGCAAAATTTATCATTTTCGTGCAGCTAACAAAAAAAGGCAATTAACTAACTTTTTCAAACGTATAAATGTTTAAAAAGTTGTTCAACAAATGTGACTAACACAAAGCGGAAATGAAGCTAAGTGAATTATAATGTCATAGTTACAGAATGTCCCTGAATATTCGTAAATTCAGTGCCCCCATGTAATCCATTAAAAACATGGCCCAAAAATATATAGAAAGTAGCTCTTTGGCACTTCTTTAATTTCATTTAAACGGGATGCCATTATACTGTTGTTATCTTTGAATAGGGAAATTTATGCAAATCTTATAGCCACTCAAATCAGCAAGGAAAACGGATAAATATTTACATTCAACAGATTTCATTTGAATAAATATTCAAATTCTGCCAGCCGTAGATCCGCCCTTGCCTCCATGCCTCCATTGTGCCACAACATGCCATTGTCCCCACACACACAGCTACGTACAGCTCGTGTAGGCAGAGCAGCGCAGAGCAGAGCAGAGAACATTGTGAATGTGAAATGTGATATCAAAACAAGCCGATTGTGTGGCATTCTACCTCAGAATTTGGACAAAAATAGCTGCAGGCACAAATAGCTGCAGAGCCGCAGAAAAGAATATACATAAAAAGGGGCTTTTGTGCGGGCCATGGAGTTGTAATTAAAAGGAAATCCATATTCATTCCGAGTAGGCAGCCGCAGCGGCAGCGGCAGCCGTAGACAGTCGGTGGCAGGAAGCGTGTCATGCACGAGGCAGCAACAGCAACGGGACGTGGCAGGTTCCCCAGCGCAGGATGGGACCTGGGACCGAGGACTGAAAGCGTGGCATGTCTCTTTGTGTGTTTGTCAGGTTGCATGGAACGACACTGAAGAATGCTGACAGAAGCATTCCCCGGTCGCCGTGCTCGCTACTCGCCCAGAGATGGGTAATCCCTGCCAAACTTTGTGGCGGCGAACCACATGAATAGGCTTCTGGCTAAGTCACGCTCTCATCTCTAATGCGACCTGCTTGCATATTTGTTTCCAGTCCAAAGCATCGGGGTTCTGGTATTGGGGTTGGGTCCTGGGCTCTGGTTGTCGGCCTATTTTGCGGCCACCGCTTTGCATGTTGCAAACAATTTGCCGCTCGAGCTTGCCAGGTTCACGTCCAGGCGAAAGCAGCCCGCGACTGACTGCCATTTAGTGGCCTAGTGCCGTAGTGCCACATAGCGGCAAAAATGTTCGTGCGACTAATTTGTGAAAAAAAAAAAGGAAAGGAAAAAAGGAAAGAAAAATCCCGCAACCCACAGAACCAGCAACAGCAACAACGACAGTCACTGCCACGAGATGTTAAAATCAACGGTCCGTGGGCCATTAGAACGGGGCCAAACAGCGACACAAAATGGGTGAAAACTAAAATTTTATAAGCGCAGCTCCTCCACGCTCCTATTAATGAGAAATAATCACAACAGCAAAAAATACAAGCTTAACAACGGAAAAACGGAAAAAGAGGCGAACAAACAGTGGCACATTTAATGCCGACGAAACGGGCTTGTCATTCCAACCTAAAAAAAAAAATAAATGAAAAGAAAACGCAACAACCAGGGCAACCAGAACAACCTCTGCTCAAACGGTAAACACACAAAGCTAATAAAAACTGTAAAATATTCAACAATTGGCAAAGCTTTTAAGAGTCTTACAGACGCCCCTGATATTGAAATGTAAACCGCGCTGTTTTCCGCTGCCCCAAAAAGTATGCTACACATAACGCCACCAAAATGAATATGATGGTGGGAGTTGGAGTCGGGGTTGGAGTCGGGGGCAGGCAGGTAGGTTGGGTAGCAATAAGTGGCTCCAGCCGTATGAAAAGAATGAAAAGAAATGAATTTGATTGTGTTGAGGGGGTTTTGCGGGTTGGGGTCTTAAAAGGTTTTCCGAAACTTGAAGCTGACAAGGCAAATCCGCTTTGCATGGTTTATATGCGATTGGGCAGATAAGTTTGAAGAAAAGCATTACACATACGAAATCGAATTAGGGGAAACCCAGGGCAGGGCAAACTACAGTATAATCAGATTGTAATTACATTTTAATTTATGCTGATAAGCCGTAAAGCCATAAAAACGAGTTTAATTGTTTCGACATTTAGGAAATTTTAAAGCGAAGTTTTAGTACGTAATTGCACTAGTCACAGGATAATCCAACTATATAATCATGGAGAATTCAGCGTCAGATAACCAGAGACATCTTCACAATATATTTAAAAGAGGATACTACTAGTACTGGCTGCTCTTCATAAATATTCATTTACCATCAATCAGCGCAACATCCTCACCTAGCTGCAAACCATTTATTATCCATCTGACGAGTATTTATGAAGGCCGCCCCAAAGTAGTCTCATTTATAAATAGCCGACACTTCAAGCCTTTCTCTTCTGTTCTCTTCTCTTCTGTTCTGTGCTGTTCAGTGCGATTTAGCCATGGCTAAATGGCCATAAATAACGCAGAACAATAACCCTCCACGCATCCACACACCCACACAGCAGCACAGAGCAGCAGCACACGCACAGACACACAGACAGGCAGCACGGCACTCAGCAACGGGTAGCTGGCTTTAGGTAATTCCCCCCGCTTTTATAATGAGCATAAAGGATAGCCGCCACAAAGAAGCCCCAGCCGATGAAGTCGAGTAGTCGAGACTTGCGCCGGAAGCAGCTTGGGGCGGAGCAGCAGCCGCTTCCACCAGAGCATGCATATACAATTATGATCTAGCCATGGCCAAATGGTAAATTAATTGAAACAAGTGGATGGGGTAGACAGGGGCGGCAGGGGCGCAACAAACTTTTTGTAGCAAATGCAAAGCAAAGCTAACAAACAAACAAAGCAAAACCAACAAAACTTAAACATTTCAATTATGTCGCTGCGGCCGACAAAAACATTTTTTGTTTTTTGTTTGGTTTTTGTTTTGTGCTAATTAAGGCTCAATGGGTGCTCCGGGGATCCGGAGCCGTAGCCATAGCCGTAGCCGAAGCCGTGCTCCAGTAATTAGCTGGCAAAAAGTCTGAACAAAGCCAGAAACTCGAAAACAAATGAGCCAAAGATGGTGCACACGGGGAGGGTGGTGTGGGGTGGTGCGGGGTAGTGAACATTCGCAGAGCAGGAGCATAACACTGGAGTGCGGAGGCAGGGCACAATGGCAGCAGGCCATTTCCGGTTTGCTCATGTGTGCCGTCGTTATCCATCGCCAGGAGGCGCTCGAGTGCTTCCTCTTCCCCTTCCCACGCATTCATCTACCCGTCTCCACGTCAAACAGAAATTGTATATGAGTGTGGGTGTGCTGGTTGTTGCAGCAACAGTTTGTTGCTTTGTTTGCCCCGCTTGTTTGTCGTTTGCCAAGACAAGGACAACAGCAACAGCAACGGCAACGACACGCTTATAAATTTTTAATTAAATTGTTGTTTTCCAGTTACTGTTTTCACTTCCTTTTTCCTTTATCTAGTTGTTGTGCCACTGACACCGGCTGGAAAACGCATTGATTGCTTCTGTGCGCTGATCCCTGGTGTGTGGGTGTATCCTTTGTTCGAGCACGGGGTTTGTCTTTGCTATTGTCTGTCCATACATGAGTAGGAGGGGGCTGCCTTCGCCGTAGGGCAAATTGAGTTGTTGAACTTGCAATTGATCCGGACCAAAGGATTAAGTGGGGGCGAAAACAGGCTTACAGGCAGGAGCAAGCACATTTAGCTTAACCCTCGTTCAATGCAGGAAAGGAATCACCTTTGACAGGAAGTACCTTTTGCTTAACCCAAACTTGGACTAATGGTTGCTTGCTTAAAGGTGAACACTATTCAGATACGATTAATGCCTGCAGAAGGTTTCATTTCTTTCACTTCTTATCGATTGAAAAGTTTCTCTTCGCTAGGCATGCCACTTCCTGCCTAATTTGTCCCTTTATGCATCGCTTATTCTTTAACATAGCCCATGGTGGTATGCGGCACTGCCCCCCACTTATGTCTAGACCATTAATAACCAATTTGTTATGTATTCCCTATCAGGGGCTCTAAGGTCTCAGGAAAACGCCAAGCCGAAACCCCCATTGAGACTATTTACATGTCTGGACTGCCCCACTTTGAGGGAATTTTACCCCTACGTTTTTCTCATGACAAATTAACTTATTTAGTTGCTGCCGGCAACAGCAGCAGCAGCAGCAGCAGGCGGGACCGTCATACGAAATAATTTATCAAATTCAGATATAAATTATTGATGACCCGAACAGAGCCGACAGAGCCGCAGGGCCAACTGGGTAGTGAACATGTGGGTGGTACAATTACTCCCACACACACACACACACACACACACACACAAAGGTGGTTTGACATTTGAGTGGAGCCAGCAAATGGCTAGAAAAAGTTTGTCAGGTGTAGGCGTTACGGCAAATACCAATCACTGGCACATACTCAAAGCAGTTTGTTGGAGGATTGTGCAGGATTGCGTGGGGGTGGCGGCGGTATAGGCAGGCTAATCAGGACATTGAGTGTTCCGAATCGAAAAGGTGGCAATCGGGGCCATGTGATAAATGACACGTGCAGAGGCCAGCGTGGGGGCGGCACAGTGCTGGCCGTCACTAGGCCACACAAAAATTAGCATAATTTCTCTTTTTTAATTGCCTGCCGCCCCGAACAAAGTGTGCACTGAAATTAAGTTTAAATTGAATATCCACATTCCAAAATTCCAAATTATTCCAACTGCAGAAATGTAGTGCAACGATGCCAGAGTAACATTCCCTCCGACTTGCGTCAACAATTCCTCGCAGTGTGCCCTGGCCAGCGCTGAAACTGTGCGATTTCTCGCTGTGCAGCAACAGCAAGGAGTAGTTGCCACTTCTGGTGTCGGCCAGTTTTGTTTGCTTTTGCTTTTGCGTTGGTGTTGGTGCAGCGACAGCGGTAGCGGCGGCGGTGGCGGTGGCAGCTCCTGTGGTGCCGGCAGACGTTACTAGTGCTCGGTAATTTTGCATGCAAATAACTGGAAATTAGTGTAAGTGCTCACTGACATGCCACACAGCCAGAGCCGCTTTTGCCACGGCTCCAACAGCTTCTGGCTTCATGCTCCTTGCTCTCAGATAGCAGAGCATTAGAGGCAGGAGAGGCAGGAGAGGCAGCAGCCCAGAGCCCAGACGAGCCCAGCCAATGGCAGAGATAAACAGACGATGGCAGAATAAAGTGGCAAACGCTTAGCCAAACGGCTTAGCCCCCATGTGGGGGCGTTGCATGGCAGCATATCTGAGTGTCTGCGGCTGCTGCTGCTGCTGCCCCCTGGAACATCAACGCTTTAAAAATCCATTAAAATGCAATGAGCGCACAAACGTTTTATGCCACGAGCCGGGGCTGAGCGGAGCTGAGCGCTGGTGAGGTTCAGATTTCAAATTTCAGTTCACTTGCCGGATATACTCAGTGAGTAAACCAGCAAACAAGAAGAAGAAGGTGATATGGCCAACATATGACGGATAACCTACATTAAGCCAGCAGCTAGAGTTCGATTTACTTTTGATAGAAGTTTCCAATGAATCCATCAGTTTATTGACACAAATAGCTACCCGTAACGCTTAGATGTCAAACTGAAAGACTAATCAAACTACTTTAATCCTAAATTCCGATATACTCGCACAAAGGAAATACCAAAAATCGAAGTTCCAAGAATTCTAAGTACAAAGAACTTCTAGAACTTGTAGAACTTCTACTTCTCTCGATTTCTTTTATTTCTTGCGAAAATAATAAACGTTTGTTCTAAGCCCCCAGAAAATCGTATCCTTCCACTCGATGAAATCCTTCAAGATGATCCAGTGGCTTAGCTTGGTGTTGCTGCTGCTGTTTGGCTGCTGCTGTTGCATGGGTGGCACGCTAATTGTGCACAATCCTGGCATGTCCTTCATTGCACACCTAATCAGATATCACTGCCAGGACAATATCATTGTCTCCCCAGCCTCATTCCACGATGGCCTTATACACCTATTAATGGGCACGAGGGGTGCAAGTGCCGACGAGATGATGGCCAAATTGCAGCTTAACCGACAGCAACTGAACGAGCACCTGCAGAGGAGTATCTTCAACAAGACAATCTACAACTCAACGATGCAAATGGCCAATCGGTTGTATGTGGACCGTCGCCTGTGGCTGCTGGAGCGCTACAAGCTGGATATATACAGGTATTTCCACACAAAAGTGGAGCATGTGGACTTCAGGAGCATAGATGGCACCGTGGACACCATCAACGGATGGATGGCCAAGAATAGGCAGGAGAATATCAAAGATATGTTGAGTTGGATTGATCCCGACTCCAGGATGGTGCTGGTCACTGCATTTGACTTCCATGGCGAGTGGGCGAAGCCCTTCGATCCGAACCACACCACAAAAGAGTTCTTCGAAACTCCGCAACAAAACGGAGAGAATGTGCCCAAATCTCTGGTGGATATGATGCACATTAGGGAGAAGTTTGCTCGCGGCTACATCGAAGAAGTCTGTGCCCATGTGATATTCTTGCCCTACAAACACGCGAACCTCTCGATGGTCGTACTCCTGCCGAGAGATTCCAATGGCATTGACTACATCAAGAGAAACATCCATGAAGTAGACCTGCAAGCACTTGAGCCCAGCGAACCACCTGTGGAAATGGAACTCAGTTTGCCCCGATTCCAAATCGAGTACAGAACAGATGTGTCGAATATCATCAAGACGATGGGCATTCGCTTGATATTTTCCCCAAGCGCCAACTTCAGTGGCCTCACCAAACAGCAGGGTGTGCGGCTCAATCAGTTTATACACAGGGTTCACATCCTGGCGGACGAAGGGGGCTACAATACGTCTGTTGCCTCTGCCTGTGGGTATTATTCACATTCATTTTGTATTCCATAACTAATTGAAATCATCTTAGCTGTGCAGTTGAAGCAGTCTGTGGTCAAAAGAAGCGTCGAAGCTCAAAGCTTCACAGTCAATCATCCGTTTTTCTTCTGTATCAAAGATAAGAAGCGAATGTATGTGGCAGGAATCGTAAATAGAATACCCATAAACCTGTAGAGAAATCTATCAAGCATATAATATTTAATATTCCATAACTAATCAGCCTCGAGGCACATTCGCTTCGGCTATTAAATGTTACGAGATCTTCATTCAAGCGCTTTGCAGTTCATTTAAAATGTGCAAACTCCTTGGGACGATTCAAGTGATTCCAATTCTGTTCCCTACTCCAATGTACTCTGGCTGGCAACGTTACGTTTAGGCTGCTGAGGGAACTGGTGCATCATAACTATCGCAGCCACTATGTGCTGTCCCCTTTTATGGTCAGGGTAACCCTAGCCGGGATCTATGCGGACAGGGAGAGCGACAAGGAGGCGGCACTGCAAGACGAAGATCCCGAGCTAGAGGAATCCATCAGCGAATTGGGCAAGCGATATGAGAAGGCCACCAATGCAAAGTTCCGGATGGCCAGTCGCTTATTTCTGTCCAATGAGCTGCCAGTGCGGGAATTTTCCAAGCTCAGCACTGCGAATATATCCAGTGCCACGAGCATAGACTTCGCGCACAACGTGGAAGCTTCGCAGCGTATCAACGACTGGCTGGGCAAGGCATTGGGTGAGCAGAAGACCCATGTGGTGGAGCCCAACGAGCTGGGCGTCGGTACGAGGGGGATTGCCATCAGTGGGATTTCGGTGAATGGACACTGGCAGCACCGCTTCGAGTCGCTGCACAAGACCTACTTTGTCACCAGGGATCTGGCGGGGCAGGTCGCTCACTCCCTGTGCGTTCCCATGATGCACACCTTCAACATGTTCGCCACAATAGCCACGGACAATGCCAGGGGTATATTCATACCCTTCAGCCAGGCGGACATGGGCATGCTGGTGCTGCTGCCCCTGCACGGCATAGAGACCAAGGATCTACTGGATGACGTGCAGATCTATTTCAACAACGCCGCTGACTGCCCCCCCGGGACATGCACCTGTTCCTGCCCATCTTTAGGGTTGAGTATGACAAGCAGTTGGGTTCCTTCGTACAGGGCTTGGATATCGAAGATCTCTTGGGAGAAGCAAAATTTCACAGGAACTTTGACCAAAACTCCAACAGCAAAATCAATGAATTCAAACACAGGACGGTGGTGCACATCCAACCCAATCGGCCACTGAGTAAGCCCATCCTCCCTCCGCACCTGCAGTTTCCCTTGTGATTTTCCGTTTTCTCGTATTTTCATGGAACTTTTTACAGTTGAAATGCCAGAAACGAATGCCATCAAACATGACATAAACGAGGAGGTATTCGATGTGAATCAATCCTTTGTGTTTGTCATAATGGATCGCGATACCGTCTATGTGGCTGGTCGCATTGAACATTTGGATGGATTGACGCCAAAAGTGAATTGTTCCCGAAAGTTTGCGGAATCTCGTTATCATCTAAAAAAATTGAGAAAGTGGAAAAGTAAATTTTTAGATTGATTTTAAGCGTCATCACACTTAATGTGTGTGTCTAATATAATTTTGAATCATTTGTGCGGTTTCCCTCGACATTTTCCATCAGAAAAGTGGAGTCTAAGTGGAGTCTGCCGTAACCTTTGTGCTGCCTGTGCAATGTTGGTGTTAATTAAATTTAGTTTTGAATTGAGCCAAAACGGCAGAAAGGCAGGCAGGCAATCAGGCAGGCTGGCGCACAGAAAAATGTTGTGTTGTGTTTTGTTATCCGAGCCATTAGCGGCGGGGATGGCGGCTCTACAGGTCCCTCTGATTCCCCGTTGGCTTTGTTTACAACGTTGCCGCGCATATTAATTGCCTGTTTAAGCAAATTAAGGCCACAAAACACCAGCATCACTGCGGGTTTCCTCTCCTCTCCTCCTTTTGCACTCATCATACTCCATCCCGAGTTCTTTGTGGTTTTTGTTTTTTTTTTTTTTGTAATTGTCGTTGTGCCCTGCGGCAAACGAAAACCCACAATTACTCGCAATTTGCAGTGCAAGCGAAGCCAAATGCTGACAATTGCATCACAGTGACAGGGGAGGAGGGGTTTTGGGTCTTGCCAAACTGCAATTGCATAAATTATAAGGCCAGGGAAGTCCCGGCACGGCATTCGGCGCTCGGCCCTGATTTAGCCCCTAAACCGTAGAAGTATCCGTAACCGCATGGTAAACTGGCACAAAGACAGGCCCCGGACAGCTTCACGCTGCTGCAGGAGCAACAGCAGCAGCAGCAATGCGGGTCACCGCCACATGGCATCGCTTTCTGATTTCCAAGGCATCGAAAACTTTCATCCAATAAATTATTGATATCCTATCCGGCTACCAATCCAAGACGTCAAGCAATTAACCTACAAGAACACACCCCACCACACCACACCACACCATGACACGACACGACATGGGGCCACGTAACATTTACGGGCCTTGTACTTACAGTTGCTGCAGAGCAGAACAGCAGCTGGGAGCGGGTGTGGAATATTGCTCATACGCTCCGCTGGCCACACAATCACATCCGACAGCCAAACAAGCAAACAACCTTACATGCTCCCGAGTAGTTTTTATTGGTTGGAAAATAAAAACCACTGGCGCCTACCCAGTACCAGTGCCCGTGGCCTGACTGCACGGGACTCCTTCCACACAGAGATTATAAAATGCAACAGAGTGCAGTGCCGTGGCGGCCATGTCGACAAATGACGTTAACATCGGTGCGGTGGCTGGGCCCCCACTCTGGGCACCGTCATCCACATCCACATCCACATTGGCATCGGCATCGGCTTGCACATCCACATTCACATCCAAGGGATGCCGACAGCCCCAAGTATGCGCAAATGAAATTTGCGAAAACTCAATGTTGGCATGACATGGAGGAGCAGGAGAAGGTGGAGCTGCAGTTCGCACTAAACTGTAGGAAGGTCAAATGGCAGCGGCAAACGAAGGGAAATATGAAAGGGGCAAATGGGGGGCAATGATGAACCAAAGTTCAAACAAAAAAAAAGGCCAAACCAATTTCAATTAACCCCAGGCGAAGGAATTCACACCTAAGAGTCCACATAGTAGATCCTGGACAAGGACCAGCAACCACCACAGGCCAAAGCCCAAACGACAAAGAGTCGTGAGAAAAGTCAAATAACAAACGAATCAGGCAAAAAGTTTGATGAGAACAAATGGCAACAATTACGTGTAGAAGAAGCGTCACTCCCCTTCTCTCTCTCCCTCTCTGCCAGTGTCGCCGCTTTGTTGGGAACTTGCAACATTATCCTTGATTGTTCTGGACTTTTCTTGGCCCTGGCAAAAGTAAACTCACTTAATTGAATTGAATGCCAAAACTTGATGATGGCAAAGTGCACTCGAGAGAAGGACTACTCTTACTCTTGCTCATCCCGCCATCATGCCTGCCAGTCTGCCTGGCAATATGGCAAGTGTATTGAATGGAACAATGGAGCCTTAGATTATGACCTGCTTGCACCTGGCTGCTGAACACGTGGGGCGTGGGGGCGTGTTGGCTGGCCTGCTATTAGCGTGTCAAAATGGCATAAACTAAAATCACATTTTGGCCCATTGTTCGGTCTATAGACATGGCACAAATAACCTCATAAAAACGATAACCGACAAACGCATAAGAAATGGCAAACGTTCACAGGGAACTCACATATCTGAAGAGGGTTGAAACTGTTGAAACCTTCTCCATAGGGAAATTACTATTAAGGCATTCAAGTGCATACTCTTAGTATTTTGTGTAGCTTTCTGTGATCCAAAATCCATCAGTGTAATTGTCGGTGTTGTGGCAAATCAATTTGATGTGTAAATTCACATTCTGTAATCATTTATGTATTAAATATCATGGCCTCCACATCACTTTAACTATCCAAACAGCCCTCGCCAACTGTTGACTCTCTCGCTCACCTGGACACTTTCTTTGTTTTTCTCACTCCCTCTCTCTCTCTCTCTCTCTCTCTCTCTCCTCTCTCTCTCTGTTTTCTTGGTGTATTTTTTATTGAATTTTCACACGAGACTGAGTTCTAACGTCGGGGTTCACAGTCATCCGAGTTGCACCCCGCCCCTGGCCCTTTAGCCCATTTAACACATTGACATTTTGCTTATTAACACCCCGAAGGAACAAAGGAATGGCTGGCCATAAGCGGGCGAGTCGAAGCGAAGCGAATCGAGTCGAGTCGAAGGTTGTTTAACTAATGGACTGAGCGTTAAATCTAATATGCTCGTTATGGTACACATGACTTCGATAATAATCGATAATGATTTGTGTGGTGTGTAAATCAAAGGTAGAGAGAGAGAGGGAGACAGGGGACAGATATTTCCCTCGCGCTGTGGCGTATGCTTAATGGGAAATGCCTTCTGCTGTGGGTGGCAAGATTTGGCAAGGGGCTGACCTTTAACCCAATAGAATGAGAGTGTACCTGATGTACAGATATTGTAGTCTGTTTGAGAATAAAATCCTGCCACGTCCAGTAACTTTTGGCACATCTGCCCCCCACACATGTACATCTTGGCGTATACTTGATGCACTTCACTCTGTGCCCCCTCCTCCCCTAACTCTTTAACGGCCATTGACTCGGGTTGGGTGCTCGTAAGCTCTTTTCAATTAAAAACTTATTTCGGCACATTGCAAATGCAGAAAGCAACCGGCACAAGTTTTTGCGCCCTTCTTGGCAGCCGACAAAAGTGGCGCCGTGCCACGCATAGAAATTGAGTTGCCCTCATTGCTGTTGCTGTTGCTGTTGCTATTGTTGTGTTAGTGTTGTTGTGGCCACAAAATGGTTGGCGCACCAACAACACTTAAGCTTAAGTGACTACTCGAGACTTCTTGTGTGTGTGTGTGTGTGAGCGACGGAAGAACCAGAGGACCATGGCGCACAGCTGAGGAAAACCTCATGACTGCGTGACCGGAAAGTGTTTGGCGTTTCCGGTTGCCGCAGCCACCGCAGCAGCCGACAACAGCAGCGGAAGTCCTGCCACGTAGACAATGGCCACCAGCAACAGCAACGCATACAGAACGAGTCGCCGCCGCCGCCACAAGTACCTGAACCTGAACCCCAACCGAATTGTGGCAGCGCCCCAGGGCGAACTTTTGATGCTCTGAAAAGCCTTTCAAATTCATTATTTAGATTAAGTTTAATTCGGGGCGGGGGGGGGCAAGCAAAACGCATCCAATATCTGCTGGCATAACTTTAAAATGAAAGAAACTTTTGCCGCCTGATATGATGGGGAGCGGAGATAATGTGAATCGGAGAGCAGGAACTTCTACGCCTCCCGCCCACATAAACCTCACTCTTTGTAAGTTATTGAAAAGTCAATAGGGCTTCGATGTCTACTTGTTAGGAGGCCAAAGTGGCAGCTCTCTGACAGCTGCAAGGAGCTGAAGCACAACCGTCCAAAGGGTATCCAAGCACAGCTGTTATCCGGCTGCTATATCCACACTAGAGCCACTACAAATCAAGTGCAGTTTGAGGGGCCAGCAACAATGAAAACAATGAAACGGAGGAGCCTACTCCAAACAAACAAAAAGGGCAGCCCCGAACGCTTTCCGATGCGAGACTCTGCTCTGGCCAGAGACCGGAGCTATCTTTCAGACTGGCTGAGAATGTCACGTTTCGACCATAAAATGTGCTAAACCGTTAATACGACAAAAAGCCACAAGAGACCGTTACCCAAAAAGGGCAGCCAGCTGCGGAAAAGTGAGTCAACGATTGGACGGACAGGAGACACACTATTCGAAGTGCTTGCTTGCTGTCTCTGTGGACAGGCCTTCATTTTCATTTGGTTGCCATCGCGTTCTCAAGCAAATTCTCAGAGGGAAAACAGAAGGAATCCACGCTCCACGCTTTTCATACTGGGTGAGCACACAAAAGGAAGAACAGTGGCAGTGGAAAAAATACGAAGGAGAATACCTGAAGAGGTGGAGAATAAAAGTTAAGTTAATTGCTTTTGCATAAAGCAGACGGCAAGAGGCGGCGAGGCAGCTGCCACGCCACAGCTTCAGTGCCCAGCTCCAGCAAGCAGCTTCTGCTTCTGAATGGGCAGCTTCTGTGTGGCTGTGTGGCAAGTGGCAAGAGAATGAAGAGCGAAATGAAACCCATTGGAGAGCTGCCAGTTGAATTGCTGCCCAATTGAGTGGAAAAATTCTTCATCCATTGGCTTCCATTTGGTGGATGCTTTTGGTAGTGACGGGGCAGAAGGCAGCAGGCAGCTGGCTGACGCTAACGCTGTTATTAAGCATCCAGCAAAGCCAGCAGCCAAGCTAAGAAATCAAAGATTCCAATGAATCGATGAACAAGTCAGGGAAAGAGTCTGCGACTATGGCAGTCAGTTCTCAATCCAGAATAATGAACTAAATCAACGTAAGGCTATAAAACAGATTCATCAAATCAGCATTATCCCAGTTCACTTTGCGATGTTTGTGGAGGTTAAGCACCATACCAAAAGGGCCTTTGAAAAGCTTTGAGTAAGCTTAATAAATTCGGGATTCGGACTAACAAATGAGGGTTAGGGTGGGAGGTCTTAACAGCTAATAAGTACCTCAAACAAGGTTCTTAATCCCGCACCAAAAACATTTTAACATGGGGTCAGTGGACACTTTGATGGGTGGGATTTCGGGTTGGGTAGGGTTCACGTTCATACGACTAACTCCCAGGAGATGTAACCCATTAGGGCAGGCGGTGGTGCTGGCGCTGGAACTGGGGCTGGGACAGGCCTTAAGTCAAAGGTTCATGAGGTAGAAACAATGGCGAGCCGAGACGACCCACTTCCATGAGAGTTGAACGACTGGCGGCAGGGCAGGAACCACATTGCCACGAGAAGGTAAATGGCCAAGTATGCAGCAACCTGACCATATTTTACACCATGAAAGTTTAGTGCCGTATCATGGAACAAAAAAATAAAAAACACGTTGCGTAGCTCACACGGGCTACATAAATAATATCCATTCAGCACATTCAACGCACAGGACACAAGGTACACAGGGTGAACAGGGTGAACAGGATACACAGGATACTGGCAGCACTTTGACTAAATGGTGTGCAATAAAATTTAAATTGCTTCTGTCTGGTTTTTTTGCTTTAGTACGTGTGGAGTTTGTGCCTCTCCCTTCGGCGCAAGCCGCCTAGGCACCACCGGACCACCGGACATTCCATTATTTATAACAATTGTCCGAAATTGCTGCTAATTAAATATGATTTAAGAAGGATGAGGCATGAGGAATGAGGCGTGAGCCATGAGGAGTGGCAATGTCTTCGTTTTGGCTGAGCTGTCAATATTTGTCAGGCAGAGTAGCGGCGATGTTAAGGCCGTGTCCCTAAGACACAGAGTATCGCATACAGAAGCAGCACACACATAGACAGAGGGGACTGGGGCTGTCCCTGACCTTTGACATTAGCCAACACGGAAACCCTCTGGCCTCGGGGCAACAAAATTTGTTTATAATTCAAATAGCGGATAAAAAAAAAACGACCAAAAAAACTATGCAAAAAAAATATAACAATACCGAAAACCGGGCAAGAAAAACACGTTAAGCAAACACGATAACGATACTATATAGGAGATATGAGCGAAAGGACAGCAAGGACAACAGCAGCGACTACAACAACTGCAACGACAACAGCGACAACAACGAAAACCATCGACAACGACAACCGACTACGACAAACAAAAACCCAGGCAAGCAAATTTATTTCAATTTAAAAATTTTGGTCACGCTCAACACAAAAAGCGAGTTAAGCGAATGGGCGGAACGGGCTAGCACTGAGGACGAAGAAACGCCGCCAGTCGGGGCTTCCCATTTGTATAATTGCTGGCGTGCCGAAGGAGAAGAACATTTGGGTTCTCCGCTCTGCTTAGTCTTGTCTTGGCCTCTGGCCCCCATCTGACGTCCAGCCACCCCCCTAACAAGATGTCGAGCTTATGCCATGACACGATCCAAGGACGCTTGACAGCAAATGGACAAAGGACATTATCAGTGGGACTGTGGCCCATGGGAAACGGCAGTAAATATTGAAACTACGCCAAAAGGGGGCACCGCCAGCTAATATTGAATCTGGAAATGAGCATTGAATAATGATAAACAGACGAATATATCAGCAAAAAAGGGAAGCCGAAACTATATTGATTTGTGCATTAAAGAACAGAGTCCTCAAAGATCTAATCGTGACGTCTCAGAGCTCAAGTATCGCATCACGCTGCCATCGCCAATTGAATATTTATGCCACACAAATGGAATGGCAAACCAACCAGCCAGCCAGTCAGCCACTCAGCCAGCCATCCAGCGAGCCAAGCAACGATTTATGTCTGGAAATTAGTTGATATGCATTGGCGATTCGAAATCGCAGACAGGCCAATGCCAACGGCGCTGCAAAGTGGAAATGGAAGTGGAAATGGAACTAGTAGCCTGGCAGGCGCTGGGGGCCTTGACAATGGCAATGAGAGAACGAACGAACGAACGAGCCAGACTCGTGTGTGTTGACATCGATTGACAAAGGTGTGGGGCTGGGACACTGAAGGACACCACACCGCAACACAACACAACGCACCACATAAGAGGGGGAAACTTTTATCCCTACCTCCCTCCCTCCACGACTTATAGAACAAAAATTGAAACGTGAATGTCGTTAAGCTGTGGCAACCACGTGTTGTCCTTCACTTGAGCTGTGTGGCTGCTATATGCAACAAGCGGGCCACGAGTTGGCCAACAGCCATGTGTCATGTCTGATGTTTGTGTGTGTGTGTGTGTGTGTGTGTGTGGGGGGGAGGGAAACAGTACCAGAACCCGTCCAGGTGTTCTCTTGGTGTCTCTGGTCAGTTAATGGTGGCTGAACGAATAGAGAAAACTATAAAAGTATTTGTATAGCCGGCCACACCACAATTGAAGGATCCCTCTGGGCAATCAACGAAATGATTCCAAGGGGGGGGCAAAAGTTCTTTTGGTAACTTTTAGTCCATGCAAGTCGGGCTTTGGTAAATAAATCAATTTAAATGGCACGAAAATTACTAAATTTCAAGTTTAAATGGTAAATTGGGGACAATTTGAGGCACTTACCAGCACTTAGCGCTGTCAACATCCCACACATTAGCCAGCCGTCCGTCTGCAAGGCGGCAAACTTAATTCAAATAACGAATCCAATTCAGCCACAAACTAATTATTGGCCAGAAGTGCGCAGCCACGAACTGGACGGCGCTCTCTCTCTCTCTCTCTGGCTGATTTATGCTTTCAGGCGTCCCAAGGCATGCATCCATTCTGCCAACTCCGCCTGCTCCCGCTCCCGGCACAAGCAGTATATCCTTCAACTTGACCACCATGAAATGGTCTGTGGGGGTGGGGTGTGGGGATGGGCAGTAAATGCTATTGTGTGTTTCTGTGTGGAAGGAAGGTCTGCGTCTGCTGTTCTTCATATTGTGCTGGTGTCTTTGTGCATGGCCTGGGTGTGTGAAATGTCCTTGTCAAACACTAATGGCGTCGTCGCCATTGCCATTGTCCTTGCCAGCGTGTTAATGTGCGACAGTTTCCTGCTACCGTCGACGGCCAGCTATGACGTTTCCTTTCCACAGCTATGTACATACATATGTACATATGTCTCCCTCCCTCCCATGCCTCCCTCCTTATTTATGCGCCTTTCTTCTACGACGTTTTTTTGGTGGCAGCTGAAATCGAATGAAATAAAATCCTTTTAAAATTTGCGGGGAAGAACAATTGAAATGTAACCGGGTAACGGTACATTTAACAGCACATTTCTAAAGGAATTTTGGGGCCGAGACATCCTGTGATGGGTGACCTTCTCATCCTGTATACAGGATGGGCCTGTGGGCCTTCTCCTTCCTGTCACCCGTTGGGGTTTCGCCTTTAACTGGATGTACCCTCACCTGTTATTCGTTCTTCCTCCTCTGCCACTGGCGTATCCTCTTATCCTCTCTCTCTTTGGTACTGGCTCATCTGGCTGATTTATATATTTTCCTTCTCTTATTCGACTTGTTTTTTTTACAGAACGTATGCCTCTGTGCAGTTTTCCATCGATTTTCGTCTTGCGCCACAACGGACTGGGGATGAAATACCAAACACATAAAACGGATTTGATATTAAAAAAATATGCAGGTAACAACAACAATAAAAACATCCCAATTTCCCAACCACTATACACAATCGTTAGTGTGTTTGTGTTTGTGTTTGTGTGTGTGGTGCTCCCAATATGCTACAAGGAACAACCGCAAACAACGGCAACGGCAACGACAACGTGCAACACAAAAAGGTTTCGCGGTGCGGTGCGGTGCGGCTTATCGGTAAATGCAACATGGCGACGGCCGCATCACGTCGCGACGTGGCGCCGCTGAATTGTTGTTATGGCGCGGTGGTTCCCATTTGTTAACGGAAAAAAAAAGCACACACACAACACACACACAGGCACAGTCTCTCATGCATACAAATTGCAAAATAAGAAACTCAAACACCACGAGCATCGCATCTGCCAGCCACTCCTCTCCACTCCACTCCACACTCCACTCCACATTCCACTGCTGTGTGCAAGTGCCACACTTTAAATTGAAAAAAATAATGCTCGAATTCGACAACAACGCGGCAAGGTTTCGCTCCAAATGCTGCCGCCAGAACAGAGCTCCAACAGAGTTGGCAAGCGCAAATATTTATTGTCACTGGACGAAGATCGAACATTGTCAATGGCAATTTGCGAATGCTTCAATTAAATAAATCCTCCGACAACAAATGCGATCATCTGTTGTTGGTGAGCTCTCACAATTAGTTTCCATTTTAATCCACACTTACCCGAAAATTAGGGACGGGTTAATGGAAACAGGAAATCTTCAAAGTGATATTTGGTTCGATATCCATTTCCATATTTATTCTTGCTATGAAAATCGATGGACACTTTAAGCTTTTTCGTTATTTTCAATTTGAAATGAATTTATTTTAAGCAGACGCAAAAACAAACAAACAAACAAACATTTCAGCGACAGAATAATAAGAGAATTAGCCTCAAGTGAAATATATGCATGCATGGAAACATTCGATGAACCAAAGGCATTAATCAATTTTGCGTTTACATTTGCAGAAACAAGAAAAAAGGCGCGAATTGCGCTTGAAGCGATTCTGGCGCTCGCCGAAAACAACCTCCTCGGACGACTCCACGGGCTATGAGAGTCCGACGCGCACGAAACCAGCGGCCAGTGCCAGCAGCGATGGGCAGCGTTTCAATCATCTGCACTACACCAGCCTCTCGCAGGGCTCTGGCACCTCATCCTCGGCGGGAATGGCGTGTCTCGGTCCACCGATTGGTGGTGCTGGTGGTGGTGCATCCACCACTGGGGCTGGGTCATCCGGCAACAACAAGCCATCCTGTTCGCTGCCACTGCTCCAGGTGTGGCCCAGCCAGGTAGGCGGATTTATAACTAACTGTTTTTGTTATTGTTTTTTGTTTTGTTTTGTCTGTGTTTGCTCTGTGTTCGTGCGAGTGTGTGTGTATTGTGAGTGTGTGTGTTTGTGTGCGTGTGTGAAAAAGAAACAACAAAACATACAGGAAACAGAAAATATGCAGAAAAGCAGCAAAACAGCTATCAATTTTGGTAATTTTTTTGGTTGGATTTTCCTGCCTCGTTTGAAATTATATGAGGTTATGTTGCGGTCAGTTGCGCTGTGCCTTTTGCGTTAATTTGTTTTTCCAACGTCTCTCTCTTCTCCCCCCAACCATACCACTACACCACTACACATATTGTACTACCACCCACAACCACTGCCACTACCATCACCCACTACCGACACCACGCCACGCCACGCCACACCACACACCATCACCCGCCTCTTACAATATTTTGTGTGTGTGCGTTGTGTGTTTGGTTTGGTTTGGTTTTGGATTTGGTTTTGATTGCTGGTTTTCTGTGGTAGCCGCTCTTGCGCCAGGAGGGCTTCGTACAGTTGCGTCGTAACAGCGGCCCCGAGGGCCAGCGGGTATGGTTCCATTCAGTTCCTCTTTATCAAAAGTCTCTCTCTCTCTCTCTCTATATATACCCTCTTTCTCTTGCTCTTTCTCTCTCTCAATCAATCAATCAATCACTCACTCAATAGTCTAATCTTATTCCCTATTTACTTACTACTCCCAGTCCTTACTAGTCCTTACTTTTTTGCATGCCTCGATTAAGCCTCGCAACGAGAGCTTCTAACCCCAACGTTTTTGACTTAACTAACTGTATAAATATGACCAAAAACCTACCCAAATTGTTGAGGTTATTTTGTGTATTCTACACGTGTTTTTTATACCTAGAAACCCCCCGTTTATTATGTATTTCTATTGGAAAATATTTTTGCTACAGTATAAAATATAAATCCCCTTGCACAAATGGCGAGTGAGGGCAAGAAATTAAGTTGTGGGAATATATCGAATATATTTATATATTTCCCATAAGAAATACCTCCCACAACTTATCGTTCAGCCCCTGCTACAGCCAAACAACACAAATTGTGTAAGTAAAACCCAACCAAGACACCACCAATCCACCTTGTAAATACCTCGTATATTATGTATATCACACCCGAAAGTAAAACTAAGTTTTTGAACCACCTAACTAACCTGAATTCACCTCCCAGAACTCCACCCACGGCCGAGTCCCCCCACACACACACAGCACCCAACAACCAACCGGCTTACCCTGTCCCCAAATCCCAAAGAAAAAAAAAACCAAAACCCATTCCCAATCTGACCTGAATGTTGCCCCCACTCAAACGTTCCTTGGACTCTTGCAGGACTCACCGCGCGGCGAGGCTGATGGCCAATCCTTCATATTCCCCGCCATCGTGGAGACGAATATCAGCAGCCCCGTGGCCGGAGGGAGCAGCAGCAACCTCAATCTGAATGCCCGGCGCAGCCAGAATCACCTGACCCTCAGCACGGATCGACGCAGCTCGCTCTACTGTGATACCCTGCACGCGGGCGACTCGGGCATCGACTCGGTGCAGGCATCGCCCTCGCCCAACGCCTTCATCGCCCCGCCGGGTGTGCTCAGCCTGCCCATGGGTCGGACGGGTGGTGGATCGTGCCACGTGTCGCCCACGAGTACGCCCACACAGGGCTCGCCGAGTCTTTCGCTGGGCCGGCGGGGCATCAGGAACAGCATCTGTGTGGTGCCCAGCGGCGATGGGGGGAGGCGCAAGTCGAGTGCCTTGCTCCATCCGGACCATGCCCGGCTGTTCGCGTTGAGGATGAAGCATGCGGCGGCTCTGGAACGGGCGCAGACATCGCCAGACCAAACCTCCATCGAGGATGCCACTGAGTTCCATGACAACGGACTGGCCACAAATCTGCGGCTGTGCTCGGCCTCGTCATCGACGACGTCGTCGCTAACATCCGTGGCAGCGGTCAGCCTGGGCGGATCCGGCGGTGGCGCTGTCGGTGGTGTTGGTAGCTGTGTGGTCGGGCTGGGCATTGGCAGCGGCGGCCTGGCCACCAGCAGCGGCAGCGGCGGCGCCTGCTCCTCCGGATCCGCCTTTGCTGTGGGCGCGGCGGGCGTCCAGCAGCGCGTCTCCGATCCGTGGCTGCAGCCACAATCGGATCGGGAGCGAGACTCCCGGCATGATGGCCGCCGACGTTCCTCAACGATGACCGCCCGCTACTCCCTCTTCGATGCCCTCGACCTGGAGTACGTTCTGCTGAGGGCCGCAGCCAGGGGTTCGGTGGGTCCGTACAGCCTCAGCGAGTCCATACACAAGCTGACCTTCACCCAATCCCTGGCATTTCCCGCTCTCGCCCGTGGCCTGGCCACCAAGCGGCGCCGATCGGCCACGCACACCAGCTCCAGGCCCCTGAATCCGCACGAGTCCGGTCTGAACACCTGCGCCAAGGTGGTCACTGCCGTGGTGCTGGTTGCCCTCTCCTTTATGGTCTTCTTGATAGTGTACAAGTTTGTGCGGACGTGAGGTTTGCTCCTGGCCCCGTCGCCAGAGTTGCCAGTCACATATCAGGCCAACTACGGACTGGATGATTCCTCATCCATCATCTCATCAGCTGGCCGCAGTCTGGGCAAACACATGTCGGGGTTCAGGAGCAAATTAGGTCTGCGTGAGGCTGACTTTGAGTGATCCCTTCCCTTCGAACAGGAAGAGCGAGGAGCAGTAGAAAAGGATGCGTAGGATGCGTAGGATGCGTAGATGCGTTGTAGGGTATAGAAAAAGTGCGTATTGAAAATTTTTGTGATAAACTATCAATGAAAAGCAAATTTTCCACAAAAGAAGAATCCAACAAAAACCGAAACAAAACCAAAAACAATTAAGCAAATGGATAAATAACAAATTAAAGGCTTAAACAATTTAGTAAACCGCTTCAAGAGGCTTGCCAGAGTTTCATATAAATAAATAAATACAAATTAATATTTTTTTATATATATAAAAATCGAATCGCTGCTCGCATTTCCTAGGCTCCTACTTAGCAAAAAGATTTTATAATAGAACACTAGACTCTCCCACGAAAGAGAATAAGCTAGAGGTGTGGGAAACGGAAACCATTTCATTGTGTTGCAGTTGCAGCTGAGAAGTGGCAAGTGCCTAACTTTTTGAACTTCCGTTTATTTTTCTTCACCTAAAATCGAATTTATCAATCGGTCGCGGCAGCTGTTTCTAATGATGATGAAAGGAAAGGTGTCCCCCTTATCCCTCTAGGGAAAGTACTTTGGTGGAGGGCATTGGAAGGATATGTGATGATGGATTTTGAGTTATTTAAGCAATCGGTAAGATTTTGGTCATAGTATACAATTTTTGTTACACAAAATAAAATATATTCCTGCTAAAAAGCTTAGTTTTAAAGCATTTCCCCCACCCACCACACAACACACATTTCAATGTGATTTTTATTATATTTTCCATACTTTTATTCCTGATATTTCCCCTCCCCCACTTCCTTTGCCGCCATCAACATTCCTCGCCAGCCCCCTTAGAACACCATTTTAGTGCTGAATAATTGGCTTTAGTCCTTAAGCATTGGGTAAAGTAGGAGGAGATCAATGTGACCTACCTTCCTACCAGTAAATAGTGTACTGACTTGTTAAATGGCTAATTGATAGATGGACCGATGACAGATGACAGATGACAGAAATGGAAATCCAGGCATATTTAAACAACATATTTACGGTAGCTATATACATAATTTATGTAGTTATACAAACAAGCAAATATATGTATGTACGAGTATACATATGTACATATGTGGATGTTTATAAACGTATACATATTTAAGCGGCTTAAATGTGACAAAGCACTTGCTGAAATACCAATACAGAAGTAAAGAAAAACTATCTAACTCTACTCTTGACTTGCTGCCTTACTTTCCTCTAGTGAAAAATAGTCGGAAACGAAACGAAACCAAATGATAAATATGTATGTACATTGTAAATACATATGTACAAGTACGAACAAAATCCCAATTAACAATTAATAAATTCTTCATAAATTGCTGCCTTACTTTCCTACTCTATTGTACACTTGAATAAAGGAAACCAACCCTTCGTTGAAGAAAAACAAACCTCTTAGACTCTCAGAGCCTTTTCCAATTTCCCTACTCTCCTATTCTATGAGCTTGACCCAATAGATTATGCAGAACAAAATCAATTTTATATAATGCTAAATATACAGATTACATACGTATGTATATACCTAAATATATTAAATGTAATGTTAAATAATTGATATTTAAATAAATGCTGGCTAAATATAAATATATTTTCTTGTATAAGTTTAAGTTTAATATTTTGTTGTTTTTGCCTTTGCCTTCGCTTTGTTATGCATAAATCATTTGTGTGAATTTGTCGACTGGCATTCATCAATATTGTATGTAAAGACATACATAGTACATACATATGTATTTGGGCATAGACTGGCCATCCCTTTTCGTTATTTTTTTTTTATTACGATTGGTGTGCAACGACTATGATGGTTAAATATAAATATATTATATAAAATTGCATATTAAATGTCAAACTATATAAAAAAGATGAACCACAAAAAGCCATCTGTAAACCGTAACAGTAAGTGGAAACGTGCAACAATAAAAGGAGAACTTTTCAAATAACTATCCCCATATTTGTATTTTCATTTTTACGGTTCGACTCGTCTGATCTGTGGGTTCTATTGTGAAGGTAAAATATTTTAATTTTCATTTTTCCCCATTTATCTCTGGATTTTACCTCTGGCTTCCTGGAATTGTACGACTGCTAATTGAGAGTGACATGTCCGAGTCGGATTCAATGAAGCCGATGAAGTTGGGTGGGGCAGGGGGTGATGATGATTTATGAACAGCTTCGATTGGCAGCAGAAAAAGTTGGAAAAGTGTACGGGGCTTTAAATGGATACTAATTAGGGGAATAAATGTGGAGGTTTCTGAGTGGCTAAAAAAAATGTATACAACAACATATAAAAAAAAGGTGTGAATAAATGGTGCTAAATAAGTTATTAATTTCTCATAAATGGTGCAACTAAAATTGCTTCAATATTATACTGAAAGTTAAAAAAAAAATGTGAGCAAAAAATTGAACAATATTTTACGGTATGTATACAAAAATGAACAAAAAAATGATACATGCCTCATAAATGGTGCAACGAAAATTCCCCGAATATTTTGTTCTATTCATTTTAATTGAATGTTGTACGCAAAAAGCGAGAGGTACCAGGAAACGAGGTAAGTTTTTAACTGGCGAAGAGTATGGAATATTTTTACACTGAAAATACTAGGAATCCCCATCAGGGAAGGAAAAGACAGCAAAAAAAGAGACTAGAAGGAATCCAGCATCAGGCGAGTACCAAGCAGTAAATGCTCCTTCAGGATAATCTCGAAATGCCCACAGTACTTCCACTTTGAGGATAAGACTGCTGTATAATGTGATTGTGTGGCTAACACACGCTGAATACCCCCGAAGGCTATGTTAAAATCATATCCTTTCGTCCAATAATTGATTTGTCAGTGACAAACGTCACGTGCCCGCAAAAAGTTTACGAATTGCCGGCTAATCTTCCTTATCCCCTTAACAGCACATCCTGAAGCTTGGCCAAGCAATCCCAGCTCGGTATTCAGAGAATTCTCAAACTTCTTGGAGCTTTGGCAGCTTGGGGCTTTATGAGCAAATTGATTCCCTATGATAAATCGTGCTGTGTCGTTGCTTGTCTGCGCATTTTGCTTGAATTGCTAATCTAAATAATTAAGCAAACTCAATTAGATCTGCTAGAGAACAAACATATACATATGTACTATACATATATTTTACATACAGACTATGAGTTTGTATGGTACCAAACCACATGTGATGTGTGTGTGTTGTTCTCAAACTAATTTATACATAAAGGGAAGGCAAAGAAAGCTTCCCAAGCGGAATCAAATGAAAATACAGACAAGACCAATGCAAAGGACCAAGCAAACGGCAAAGGACCGGCATTTGGCACAGATTGAAAGAACTTGGGCGGGCCGCCTCAATGGGGGGGCCAACCAGGCCATTTTACTAAAGCTGTGCCAGGATTAACAAGGGGGCGTGCTGGGAGCAGCAACTGCCAGACTGGGACTAGTCCATAATTAAGCAGCGCAACCACAGGAAAATAAGAAAATTGAAGCCCACAACCCGAAACGGAATCGAAATCACAGTGTGGCTGGAGCTCTGGCTGTGGCCTCGCTCTCGCTCTCTCTCTCTCTCTCTGTCTCTCTGTTAGCATTCATAACATAACACAGAGGTAAACAGAAGTTTTCTTTCCTCTGCTCTGCTGCCCGGAAATAACGCATACGCAGTGTGTGCACGTGTACGTGTGTCCAGTGTGTGTGTGAAACAGAGTCCGTAACCATTTCTGAAATAATTGAAATGAAATTTTAACCTTTTCAACTGCCCACGAACATGTGTTTCCATTGCAGACCTCCTTCAGTTTTGGATTCTGCATTAAAAACTTATTTCAGCATTTTTCCTCGACTACTTTCTGTTTATACCCTTGCCAGAGGCTTCAATGATTTTGTCCGGATATATGAGTATTTTCAGCGCAGACAAAGAAGTTTTCTTTGACCCTGTACAGTGTTTCTTTAATTCCTTAATCTTCAATCTTTTATTGATTTTTGTGTCATTTATTTGCATCTGCAAAGGGTATCTAAAGCTGCTGCCTGCGGTGTTGGTGCTCATTTTTGGGTTTTTTTTTTGTCCTTGCCTTTGAAATGCCTGGGAATATTATATTTTTAGAACTCAAGGTTGCCAAAGCTACGGATGCTCATGCGGATGTGGATGATTTGAAAAGTAGTAGGCAACAGTTAGCAAAGGGGTTTTGCAAGCAGAAGCGAAGGCTGAGGATGAGGGGTTAAGCACACACGAGCCGTCGCCGTTGCTGCCGTCTTGAGTGCCACAGCAAATGCAGCCATCAGGCCGCCAGGCCACCGCTGATGTGTAGGTGCAGGTGCAGTTGCATGGGCAGTTATTTTCCTCTTTTTGTTCAAACTTGTTGCAAATACGTCGAGAGAGAGGGAGAGAGAGAGAGAGAGCAGGAGCTGCGGCACATCTGTCGAGGCCTTGACTCTGACTGTGTGTGTCCTTGGGTGATGGGCAGAAAAAAAAAACGTTGTGCAAAAATTGAAAAATTTGTCGGCCTCCTCTATACACAAGAGCAATACAAGGATTTACGAATACGACGAGTGCACACATATTTTCGGGGCCTGCGGAGAAAGCACGTCTAAGGGGATGGCAGTTGCAAGCAGGCTGGCTGGTGCCACAAAGGAAAACTGTGGATAAATGAATGCAATCAAAAGTGGAATTTATAAGTGTGTGATCAATTTCAATGCTTGGCAGAGCTATAGCCGCTCTCAAAGCCAAGGATTCATAACCATCTTGTACCATAAGAATCACTGTAGATAATCGTCTGAAGCCTAATTGGTATCGTTCTTTGTAGAGGAGATGACAAAACAGGAACTAAAATCCAGCAGCATCCCAAGCCGCGTTTTAACGCAGGATCTCCAATTGGATATAAATAGGCTGTAGTTTTCTAAACATCTAAAAGTCAATTTGGATCATTTCGTATCAGCATTTTTAATTATTAATTAAATAACTAAATACGTTCATCTTTAAATACTTTTTCATTGAATTTGAATATTTACGCCTTGCTTCTCCCTATTGAAAATCGTTCAAACATGAACCCAAAATAAAAACCTAAACATAATCCGTGTTTGTTTTTAGTCTCTTTCACACCAAAAAGGTCAAACTAAATTTGATTTAAATTTTAAATTACGCAGACAATAAAAGTAATTCCCCTAAAAATTGGCCCGCAATGATGCGGAAATGGAGAGGGGAACAGAAATGAAATGGTATGGGTATGGCATGTACTAGATATAATAAGATGGAGATCTTTCAGTGCCAATGCGAGGTAGGGAGCCCCTTTTGCATTTCAATTAAAAATGATTAAAGATACACAAGAAAAAGGTTAAAAGTCGCGCATGCAGCACAAAATTGTTGCGGACAAATAACTTTCAAGGCGAAATGAGAAAAACAACAACAGCAGCAGAAAGGAGCAGTAGCAGGGTGGAGGAAGAGGCGTATACCGCTGGGAAACTGTCAAACACAAACAAACAGATAAACGGTGAAGATTCCTTCTTGTTTTTCCTTTTTTGGTGGGGACCATATTTTATGCAGACGTAGGCCCAAGGACCTAAAGATGGTGCGCGGGGGGTAAGCGCCTGCAAGCATGGAAATTAGTTTTGCTGACTGCAAAAAAAAAAAGCAAAAACAGGAAAACAAGGCAAGGCAAGGAAATAAATGTTTTACGAGGAGAGAGAGAGAGAGCCATGGAGACGTCTTACAACCTCAGTGCAAGCAGCAGCAGCAGCAGCAGCAGCAGGAACACCAGCAGCAGCAACAGCAATGGGGCAAAGTACTCGGCGCGTGCAGCAAAGTTCTTTTTTCCCTCTGGCGTTTTCCACTTAAGAGGGACAATTGGAAAACGCGTCAAACGTGCGATTGTTCCAGTGGGATGAGAAAGTGGCAGGGGGGGCGAGACCATAGCGACATTGTGTCTGCTTCGCGACGCATGCTGCATGCCTGCTGCCCCTTGTTGTTCGCTTCCTTGTTATTATTCTTTTTTGTTGCCTTTTAACAATTCTTTTATGATTTCCTTAATAAACACATATACATGTACTTGTATTTGTATTCCGGCACACACACACACACACCCAACCATCCATCCACCCACACCCACACAGCAGCCGAAACGTCTGAAATTTCAATTCAACAACGCCATATGTCTGGCCCTCTCTCTCAATCTATCCCTCTGTCTCCCCCTCTCTGTTTAGCTTTGTCCATGCCCTTCGGCTAATGTGTTTTTTGCAGTGTTCTTTTTAATGAATTTTAAATGTGAACTTGCACTCAAACATGAAATTTAATAAGCATTTCGTTAGCCTTAACTATTTGCAAATTCAATGGGCCAGCCAGACAAGCCAAAGATTTCCATCTACCCACGTGGCGGTACACGTTCCGGAGGTCCTTCCACCTGCGCCTGACAGCTAATTGAGCTCAACGTTGGGGCGACTTTACGGTTTCAAGAAAACGGACACAAAGACACGCACACACACACACACACACACCTGAGTCCTGTCCGACTCTGGGTCCTGTCCGTTCACCTGCCGCTTTCATAAGACAATTATGAAATGCGTTTTTTATAGCCCTATTATTGCTTCGCATCGGACTCCGTGGGACGGGCGTTCAAAAGAACAATCAGGCTTTGTTACGGGCCAAGATCCGAGTGAGTGTCGTTGCTTTGGCTTCCGTTGATTAAAATATTCTTTCATCACATTTTACTTTGGCAGCAACAAAAACGATATTCTTAAACTGATTGATACATTATTTTGAATGGTCATTTAAGAAGAATAATAGCTTAAAAGCTTGAAAAATAGTGACAATTCAAAGCAGGTTCTGGTCATTCAATTACCTTTACTTTAACTGCTTTCAGAAAAATATTCCTGCAATTCAAATTGCCTTTTGTTGGCAACTCCGCTGCAAATGTTATCTAGTATTTCAAAGGTTGTTACTTTTGAAAATGACCGCCAAACTCCATTTATCGTACAAAAATATCGATATTATTCGCTCTCAATTCGTGGTGGTTTTTCAAAATTTGCTCTCAATTCGTGGAGAGTTTGCTAAATTTGCTCTCAATTCGTGGAGAGTGCTCTCTTTTCAGTGGAGAATAGAGTGTTTTTGTGGAGACTTTCCCCTCATTTTCGTGGTGTGGCAGCATGTTGCTGAAATTTTTCCCATACAAAATCAAATGTATCTTACGGGAACGCGTATGGAATAAAGATTCATTGTTGCGTCATTCCATACGCGTTCCCGTAAGATACATTTGATTTGTATGGGAAAAAATTCTGCAACATGGGGAAATGAATTAGCAGCATTGTTGTTCAACTTTGGCACGGATGAGCAACAATCTGCATACCTTGGGAAAAGGGGTATTATGGACTTGAGATATTGTTTGTAATTTCAGGCTCCAATTAATGCAGAAACTACTCAGTCTCTGTTTTAAAGACAATAACGAAATTTTGCAGCTCACGGATACCAATAATAGGTATCAGAACCGGGATAAATGTATTTATAAAACACAAAACATATGCATTAATAGGTAAAAATGATAAAATCATAAATAATGCTTCAATGGAGCTTGAAACTAAACATTTAACATCAATTAAAGGAAATAAGGTATACAAAAGTCCATACGCATAGAAGTAACTTGGTTGACCAGCAACACTGACGTCACATTTAGTAAATATTTACGTTTTATGCTTTGGCCGTTTTGGTTCGAACCTTATTATGTAAACAATCCAATGAAAAAGAATTCTGAAAACTAGCCAATCCTGAACAAAATTCATTGAGGAATTGGATAAAATTATTTGTTTAGGGCTGAGAGGGCCAACTAGCTAGTAATATTGAACGGAATATCAAAATCGAGGAATATCATGTCACAAAATATCATGGTATGGCAGCCCGTAGCAACTACGAATGGCACGAGTCTGGCAACGCCACAAAAACGACGTCACATTCGTTTTATGTTGTTTTTGCTTGAACCTTAATATGTAAATAATCCAATAAAAAGGACTTCTGAAAACTTGCCAATCTTGTAGAAAATTTATGTATCTATCGGATAAAATGATTTGTTTAGGGCTGCGAGGGCCAACTAGCTAGTAATATTAAACGGAATATCAAAATCGAGGAATATCAACATTGAATGTTTTGAAAAAAACAATCGATACTATAATAATAGTATCGTAATAGTATCGTACTAGTATCGTAATAGTATCGAGCTCAAATAATTATTAAAAATAATTATTATATGCTTGTTTACAAATTTGTCTATAGCAGCCAAGCCAAACATATCAAAAGCGCAACGATAGTGCTAGCAGCAAAATATCCTCTTTGGCTTGACACCTCTGTTTTGAAATTTATAGTTTAAGTGACAAAACCATGGAGCACGACGCAGAGGAGCAATCCTTTCAGCTACAGGCATTGGCAATACGCGAGCCAGATGCCGGCTTCGATCCCCAGCTGCCGCCACAGACCGGCGAGGAGTATCTGATGCACATGCTGTACGAACGCAAACGCTGCCCGGCGGTGGTGACCAAGCGCTCGTCCAAGATTAAGAAAGATGTCTCCGACAGAGGCCAGGGGATGCTGGAAAGCGTGAGTGAAGATCATTATCTATTCTTTATTATTGTTAATGCATTGCCGTTGCCTTGCAGATGCCCCTGCCGCCACACAAGTGCCTGCTGCCCACGCCAGAATGGCGCGATGAGCAGGCAAAGAGCTTCCAGGCAGCCCGTTGCCAGGTGCTCGAGATGCGTGACGAACTGACTGCCCACAGCTATGACCAGTCTGCGGAGCCACCACTCACCTCGGACATCGAAAAGTGGCAGACATTCTGCCGCGATAGGCAGCCGCTGCTCAGTACCCTGTTGCACTTGAGCCAAAATGATTTGGAGCATCTGCTGGAGATGCTCAGCCAGTGGCTGCAGCCCGAGGAACCCGTGGATTTGCTCATCAGAGATGTCTGGCTGGGCCGTTGGCTCTACGCCACTCTTGTCTGCCTGCATCTGCCCCTGGAGCCATATGTGTACAGCACTCTGCGTGGCATAGCGCGCTCCTGCATCCAGCTGAGGAACCAACTGTCCGAAGAGGAGGTGAAGCGAGCAGCGCCCTACAATCTGATTATAACACTGATTGTCCAGGTCTTTGCCCAGACCGATCTGGATGCGTACCTTTAAGAGTTTTGTACCAACTATCCATAGATATAGATAATAGAAACACGTTTGTGTGGTGTGCGAATGTTTAATAAGCGGCAAAGACGCGTCTGTACGCTTGGCAAATGTCGCAGCTGCTCTCGTGATCATCTTCAGGATCGAAGCAGAACGAGTGGTGGCTGCCGTGTGTCAGAGAGGAGCTCTGACTGACACTACTAATCTGCGTGCTGCTGGAACAGGTGGAGAGTCGCCTGTTCTGCTGATGCTGATGTTGATTCCGCCCTGGCGATGCACTGCTGCTTGTGGTGGTTACCCCCGAGTAGCTGCAACAATGCGATTTCTTGGCATGGCAAACGGTCTGTTGCTTGCGCGGCTGCTCCAGACGACTCGTGCAACGGCTCTCCACATGACGATTGACCGGGGCGCGTAAAACCTCTGCAAGATCTCCTCTGTGGTTCAGACTGTTGCAGCTGCATCCGTTCTGTCGGTCCTGCATGGTCATTTGCGCCGACAGCTCTACCTTGGGCGCTAGGATGCCCGGAAAGGCCGGCGTTGCCTTCATTAGCAGCTGCACATTGGAGCTGTGGGCACAACTCAAGCGCGGCACAGTGGGCTGCATCACGTCCGAGAGGGAGCCCATGAAGTAGGCCAATCTACGCCCATTCTGCCAGATGGTAATCTGCAGCTGCTCCGCCCTCAGTAGCTCGTGCATCTGCTCCAGCGAGCCCACGCTCTTGAAGTAACCCTCCATTTTGAACGTGTCGTGGCACAGCATCGGGAAGCGTGGCTCCATCGCCCCAGTGCGGAAATAGTAGCCCAGCGTCTTGATGGTGGCCTCCAGATAGCCGTGCGAGCAGAGCCAAACGCCCGGACAGGTCAGCTGCAAATGGAAGCCATAAAAAGAGGAAGCAAAGCAGCTCTAAAGGGATTCTTCTCCACCAACCGCATGCAGTTGCAGCTCCAGACGCACATAGAATCTCTTGTGGGACATTCTCAAGTGAAAGTTTTTCGCGGACTCACTGATTGGGGTGGGGCATGTGTGGGGGGGCTTGGAGCTTGGCTCCTTTGTTGTGGCAGCCGGTACGGTTGCCCGGGCAGCCGTTTAAAAGTGAATTTTGAAATCGATAGCGAATCAATTACACCAGCCCGCCCGATTATTGAATTGAGGATACATATGTCTGGGTAAAAAAGTTATTATTTATGCCTAAAAGCAGCTTGGGAAGCTTAACATTTACATGAATTTAAGTAAATAGGGTATTAAGTTGCCCATACTACTGGTTGACAAGCAACAAGTGGTCAAACAACGTAACATTTCATTCCCACTTACGTTTTATCAGTTTATGGAGGGTAGAGTCCGATTAGCCCATTGACGACCAGTGGGTATTTATATACAAAACACGAATATTACAAAACTTGAAGAATTTCAGCGCAGTTCAGATGAATGATATTGTGGTAATTTTTTTTTGAAGTAAATAGATTTTACAAACATCGTTATTTTCCGCGGATGAACTAAAGTTGTTTACTTGTTTAAATAGAGGGGGCTTAAGTGGGTTAAGTTCGTTCGCTCACTCATTGTTTATCAATTTTTGGGTCAACCACGTCAGGTTATCATTTTTTGGCCAAACATATTGTGGAAATGCTGCCGCGCTTAGTCATACTCTCGCTGGGTGTCCTGGCCAGCCTCCAGCAGTGCCAGGCGGGCTCTCCCGAGGAGGAGCAGGGCGTCCGGTATGCCAATCGCTGTGAGGCGTGCAAAATTCTGGCCGCAGAGCTGGAGGGGCGCCTGGGTGAGACCGGCAAGTCGCACGACGTGATCGAGACGGGCTACTCTGTGGACGATGTGCGGCCCAAGAAGCGCACCGAGTACCGCAGAAGCGAACTCCGCCTGCTCGAGTCGCTGGAGAATGTCTGCGAACGCGTGCTGGCCTACAATCTGCACAAGGAGCGCACGGACAGCACGAGATTCGCCAAGGGCATGTCACAGACATTCCAGACGCTGCACGGCCTCGTCGACAAGGGTGTCAAGGTGGACCTGGGCATACCCTACGAGCTGTGGGACAAGCCGCCCGTCGAGGTCACCCAAATGAAGACCCAATGCGAGAACATGCTCGAAGAGTACGAGGAGACCATCAGTGATTGGTACTTCAAGCTGCAGGAGCAAAAGTCGCTGCGCCAGCATCTCTGCGAGGATCATGTGCTGAAGAAAAAGGCTGAACGCGAGTGCCTCAAAGAGGAGCTGGCACCGCCACAGGACAATCCCGCAGGCGACAAGGAAGAGTTGTAGGACACAGCATTGAGTACCCAAGAGATTACATTACCACACGAGATTCTCTCTAGTGCATAGTTTGGAGCAAAGTAAAAAGTGTTTTAATAGATTTTAAGTAGACTTACGCGTCGTCTGTTGTCCTGCCTGTGCCTAAAAGCCCGTCCAAAGCGACTGAGCCACAAAATGTTACTGAAAATGCCGCTCAGTGGCCGAGGGGGCCCTATTGATTTGGTCGACAATTAAAAGTTGAGTGACCTGAAAGGAGGTCACTCCGCTCCACTCCACCCATTGCCAAAGAGGGCATTGCCAGCCGCATAAATATTCCTCCGCGTACCTCGTTCTGCGGCCTTCCCTCTCCCGCCAAATGCAGTTCCGTTGCTGCGTCCTGTCCTCTGTGTTTTGTATAATAAATACGTAGCGTATATTTAGAAAATAAAAAAAATATGTGTATAATTTATAATTGGATTTTTCCATCTTTTGCTTTGCTTCTCTCACTGTAAGTTCTGGGGGAATCATTCAAAGGGGGGATTTCGATTAAGTCTTGGATTCGATACGAGATTGTGTTCCAGGGGTATCCCTTTTTGCGCCTAGAGCTTCATCACGTCCCAGGGATCGTCCATATACTGTAGGATTGCTTTATCGTTTAGCCTCTCGCCAAAGACGTCCTTGAGCAGCCGCAGCACTCGCTCCTCGATGAAGGCCACCTGATTCTGGGGACAGTAATCATCCTGAGCGGAATGAGCCATCGTTATGGCCACGGGCGGCACGGGCAGACGTTCCAGGAAACGCTTGAAATTCGCAAAATACTCCTCCAGCTCCTGGCTGGTGCTGATGTGATGCGGCAGCCCGTTGTTGTCCGTGGTGCTGCCCGAGTCGAATATCAAGTGCCAGTCAATCTCATCGTCCGGATACTTGTCCTGCAGTTGCTCGGTGAGCTGCACGATCTTGGCATAAACCTCGGGACTGATCACAGTCTCGTCGGGCAGCTCGAGCCCCTCCAGGCTGCGCTGCTCCTCCAGATGCCAGAAGATCCGCTTGAGTGCCTCCAGCTGTGTCTGCCGCTTGTCGGCCGTGGCCATGTACTCCGATATGGTGGCCGTGGCCGCCTTCTTCACGGCCTCCACGCTCACAAAGTGAAAGATCTCCTTCAGTTGATTGTAGCAATCGGCGTCCTTGTAGATCTCCAGAAAGGGATTCGATGTGCTGAAGAAGTCCAGGTCAATGTCCAGCACAAAACCCTTGGCATCCTTCGCTGTGACAAACTGCGTGGGATCCAGACTGTCGCTGTCTGCATCGTAGACCTGCAGCTCCACCTGGCGCGCCTCCTGCAGGTCGTCGCTGTTGCAGTAGTTGCCATCGGCAATGAAGTAATCCAGCGGACAGTCCACGCCAATGCGATCGTCCTTCTGGCCAATCTTAAAGTCATGCTTGCCGGTGGGTATCTGCTGGCACCACGAATTCTTCAGCCACACCATGCGATTAAAGTGGCCTGGAACGAGGCACAAAGGGCAGCTCGGATGGGGGACTGGTACCTGACCCGTCTGTGTATCACCACTCACCTGCAAACAGCGTGGGCATGATCCAGTTCTCAATGCTCAGCTCATTCAGCATCGTCTCCTTGTCGTAGGTGGAGCTGGCGGCTATGTGCCGCGGTATCACCAGGTCTGGATGCGAGTCAAAGTGCACCAGCAGATTGTTCTCCAGCGGCAGGTGTCGCGTGCCCAGGCAGCGGTAGATAAACTCCAGCACATCGTTATGATAGTCCACAATGAAGACGGGTATGCGTCGGAATGTACGCGGGTTGCTTTGAGTGCTTTGAACCCGATCCACACAGCTCTCGACAGCAGCAGCAACCAGTTGTGGCACCTCTTCGTCATCATCATCCTCAGCCTCATTCTCCTCCTGCTCATCATCATTGTCTGCGTCTACTTCTTCCTTCTCCCTATCTGCCACCTCTCGATCCTCCTCATCGGCGACAGTCTTTTGTCTCTTTGTTGGCGGCGCCCCTTCCGCCGCTGCTGATGCTGTTGCTGCTGTTTCCTTGCCACCCGCACTTTCACTTTGCGACAACTTTTTCAATGCTGCCGCAGCACTCTCCATATCCAGCGTATCCGATTCCATTTTGGGTTTTGTGAATATTTGTGGGTTTTCAATTAATTTTCAATTATTGTGCACCGCAAGCAGACTTTTTTGTTTCTTTTTTCGTATTAAATTTTTTATTTCAGCTGTTGGCGCGGCAAATGTGGTCACACTTAAGATATCGATAGCAATCGATATGTGTGCCGATGTGTCTCTGCAGGATGGCGCTAAACGTTCGCTTTATTTGAATATTTAAGCAAAAGCTTTTGCAATTTGCTGACACTTTGGCAATGGAAACTGTTTTATATGTATGAACACTCAATTAAATTGTTGCATTTGAGACTTTATTACATTTAAACACGCTGCACTTGCACTCAATTCCCCTTCCCCCTCTCCTTCTCCCTACTTCACCGAAACACATTTCAAGGTTGCTCCGCTTTTGGAGACTTTTATAAATCAATATTCCGTGTGGTATAGCTCGAAGCTCGAAGCTTTTCATTCATAAGTTTGTTGCTTTTTGTAATTCGCTGGGCTTTCGTTTCGTGTGTTGGTTGTGTGTACTACAAACGTGCGAAAAGAAGGGAAACGACGCCCACCACATGGCTGATTGGAATGCGTAAAATGTTGTAGCAGTGTGTGTGTGTGTGTTCTTTTTTTGTTGTGCGGGCTGCACAGCAGCCAGCAGCTGGTGGCTGAAATGAAATGAATGGCATGGCATGGCGTTGTGGATTGGATTGTATTGGTGGGTGGGTGGGTTGGTTTGGGTGAGGGTCTGGAAAAACGCTGACTCCGTTGCCCAGGCTTTGGCGTGGGCGTGCGATGTTTCCGCCGCCGAGCGTTATCAAAAATAAAACTGTATATAGACTTTTGTGGGTGTATTACACACACACACACACATACATACACCGAAACACTTTGCTGCTGCTTTCCTTTTTTTGGCCAGGCCAACTGACTGCTCCGCTGCGTGGGCGTACACAATGGGTGCTGGGGGATGCCACCGCCACTGCCACTCTGTTGTGTGTGTGTGGCAAATTACAATATCCAAGTGGCAGGGCAGGTTGGTTCGTTGGTTGGCCCAGGGTACGAGGGTGTGGCAGACACTTTATGTGGACGCCCACGCTGCATCGTGCACGCTTCGCTCCGTATTTGATTTACAAATTACTTGGGTCAACATAATTAACGGACCACTCACACACACACGCATACAGAACACAGAGAATACTGCAAAAAAAAAAAACAGATACCCAGATACTCGTTCGAAACGGAAGTGCCACGGGCGCAGCAATTGAAAATCCACTTCGAGAGCATCGCCCAGTTAAGCGCGGAGTTCGCATTCAACATTCAACGTTCAGCATTCAGCATTTTATTGAATCAATTGGCTGCAATTGGATTCACAATTTTTGTCTTTGTATCAATTACAAGCGGGTCGGCCAGGAAAGCTCTTCTCTGCGCCTCTGAGAACTCCTTTCTCTCTCCCTTGCCGGCTCTCTCTCCGGCTCACCCAAGTCTCGCAATTAAATTGCCTTCAGCTTGACCCTGGAGGTCAAACACTGAGTCGCATTAACCTTCGTTAGCCCCCGCCGTTATTAAAGGAAGGATGGATGGCAGGGCATGGATGGGCGCTGACAGCGCGCTGTTGGTGGAACAAATTTCTAAGTTTCTAGTGCAAAGAAGTCCAACTCCCAAGGTCAACCTCCAAAAGGAAAGACCAAACCGAGCGAAGGGGAGGGCCACGGCAACAGTTCCGATAGCGCAACGAACACCCAATACAGTGCGTAAAATACCTTCATAAACAACCCCCCTGCATGGCCATGTTTGCATTTATTAAATGAAGATTAATATATGACTGCAACTATCGAAAAAACTCTTTCCTTCTTGGTCACCCTTTTATCTGGAGTTGCAAATGGAAATCCAAAAGTGAAATACTTGTTTAGTTCACAAGACAATTAAAATCCTTCCAAAATTATAATCAAATATTCATTACAGAAATACCTCTAAAAGGTCAGCCCTTATATTGTTTGTATTTTCCTGCAAAAAACACCTTTAAAGTTCCATTTAAGTTGAGCTACCATAACCCATTCCATTCCACGTTGAGCACTTCCCACACCTTTACGCCTGAACCTTATTTTAATCTCTAATTCGCCAAGCTACCCTCGAATGACGTCAAAAGGATTTTGATTTTGGGGCGTAGGTGTACCTTTTCGTATTTTATTTTATTTTCTCGTTCAAGAACAAAACGTGGAGTCGGCCTACTGCTGCTTCTGTTGCTGCTGCTGTCGGAGCTACCGTAGGATGAGTCAGAGGGCAAAGGCAGCCAGAAGGCCAGAAAGGCAACGTACCAGAGGTAAGAGGGGCAGCCATTACCAACGTCATTTGGTTTTCAATTCGCTGAATAGTCAGTCATCTGGTCAGGTCCCTCCAGTTTTCCAGTTTGTTTCATATCAATCGCAGGTCTCGTGCGCGTGGGCGTCAAAGCTGAATGATTGTTTCGCATCTGCTGGCTGCCCCTTGCCCCTTGCCCACCGCCTTCCACTTCCCGGCATATCTCTGCCAACGTCATCCAAGTGGTTCTGTGGAGAATGGAGATGGGGAGAGAACATTTCATCGTTTCGTTTTGGGCCCCTTCGCCTGGTCAAGCGTCAAACGCATGTCGATCGTCAAGACTCGTGGCGCCCACAAACATCCGTTGGCGCGGCGCGTGATTCACAGAAATTCAGTTTGGGGGCTGGACACCCAAAAGAATTAGTGGGTAGTGCGTCTGTGTGTGTGTGTGCTGCGACAAGTCTGTCTGATCCGCAAAAACGGAAACACGAATACGCGATAATCAGAGGCCGGCTGTGCCCCCCTCCTAATCCCTTTCGAGTTGTTTTAGGTCAGTAAAGCGAGTCGTGTGGGAAAATGAAATGCGGCGGCTCTAACTCTGAGTTGGAATGGGGTCCCATGATATTGTGTATCTTATACACATGAATATAATTAGTTTAAAGAACGTTCATGGTAAATTCCATTTAAAAATTAGTTCTTGGTGTTATTCATTAGGGAAATCAGCGACTCACATGATCAATTTTCATTGGAAAGACATCATGAGATCGTTAGTTGCTCGCAGCGATTGATGATCCATTTTTTACCAGAACTTTCATCACTTTGAAGAATCATCAGTGCATACATATAGGAATTGGTCATGTCATGACTGACTATACTGCTTTATGCGACATACATACATATATCAAAATCGTATAGATACGAGTACGCCTCATCAATGACGGATCAACAAAATAAATGCCGTCACTTCAGACATGCATTGTCGACATGGAATGGCAATCGTAATGTGCTACAAATACAATTCAATTTTTGATTAAAGTCCTCAAAGATTGCACACAGATAATGTGGACAGCAAGTGATTCATTCACCAATTCACTATATTTTAGTTCCCCAGTTGGGTATTCCCTTCTCAACAAAATTCGTTGCTTTGGACTTTGAACTTGAAAGGGGGGAGATCAACCCCCCGCACGGACTGACCTTGACTGCTACCTGAGGGTTAGAAGAAAAGCCAAGGCCGGGACGGGCCCTGGGACAGGCAATTTAGCAGCTTTTTGAAGTTACACCTAGCCACCCACCCACAGCCGCCACGGCGGCTGTACGACAGTCTCCTCCCCTCTCAATCACAAGGCAACCCACGCGCTATGTCCTGGGATTCCTGCACTGCCACTGCCCCCACATTCTTCAAATCGAAAACCCCATCGAAAATGAGCAACCCTCTGCCCCGCCCATGTGCGTGGGTGTTTCTCTCCATCTCCATCTCACTCTTCCCCCACAGCTGCTGCTGCTGCTGCTGTGGCACGGACTTGGGCAACGAATTTTGGGTGAGAATTTCATTCATGAAAATTCTCCTCGAAAGTCGCACTTTCATTGTCGTTGTGCCTGTTGTGTGTGTGTGTTTGTGTGTACATAAAGAGCACGTTGCGCTGTGCTGCTGGGGTGCTTTACCTAACGGTATATGTTTGTAGATGTAAAGCTGCCGCTTCTGCCCGGCGCAGGCGCTAAAACTTTACTTGTGGAGAAATTTTTGCACGCGCGCTGTTGTCCGCGGCATATCCTTGAAACGGTCCTTGTATGCATGCCTGTGTGTGTGTGTGTGTGTGAGCTGGGTTTTTGTGTGTAAATATCAGGGTCATGGTTATAAAATTAAACATTTCACGGAGTCTCCAAAATAACGGGACCGGAGCCCAAGCCAAGCCCTAGGTGGAGATGGGAGCTTTTGGTGCCGCGCAAAATACTTCATTGATGATTCGCCGCTGGCTTCCCTAATGCCTTATCTCCAGTGTACAATCGAAACTCTCTCAGGGTCCCCTCCCTCCAGTCCCACCCACATACGCGAATGTAGTCTGCCCTGCTCCATTAACTTCTGCATTCATGTAGAGTATTTACTTTGGCTCTCACGCTCCCAACTTCGAGATTTAGAGCGGTAGAGAGAGAGAGAGAGAGGCGGAAAGAGTCGGAGGGGCTGCTAGGTTGCTGGCGAAATTCAATGAATCAACATGGGGGAACACACGTACAGCAACATGCATACCAATGCACAAAAATATCAATGAACTTTACACAAAACTTTTGCGAGCGTGTGCGGGAGCGGCATGTGAAGAAATAGGCATACAGCAGGAGAGAGAGAAAGAGAGAGGAGCCAGTGAGTGTAGGTGTAGAGAATGGCACTGGAGGGCAGGTGAGAAATTTGAAATGGAACCCCAATTGGGTGCAGGTTCAGGTATTCAGTACTCATTGAAATAGCAATAATTAAAAACGTACTCAATGGCAATACATAAAAGATTTCATTGACAGTGTAAATTTCCTAGCGGGCTGCCAGTGCAACTTTGTGTAGAGCTGGAGAGAAAACATGTGCCTGCCTGTTCTCACTCGCTATCTCTCCATTTCCACTCATCGCGACTGTGTGTGTGTGTGTTGTATGTGGGAGATGTTGCTTGTTTAATTGTGTGTGTGACTGAGGAGAGAATCGAGACGAAAGGGGTCTTAGCACAACAAGGTGGCACCAGCAACATTTAAAATACCCTTGTGTTGAGTATATTATAGACGTGACGAGATGTTTGCCATCTCGAACGCCATAATATATATAAATATCGATGGTATATTCTTGATCATATATATAATAGAAAGATATACATATATTCAGGATAATAGTAACCATGTTCCAATATACATTTTTATGGTATTTTTATATGAATGGGTCTAAAACAGTTGGTCTTGGGTAAAATTGATCACAAAACTGATTGCCATTTCTTAAGATCAGATGGGAAAAATATTTGCTCATATAATTTAGGCAGAGAGGGTATAGAGACTTCCATACTCATATTTATTTCTCAGCAACATAATATTACTTGCTAGGCAACATTTGAAGCGACTCATATCCGTCACGCAAAACTGAGTCTGAGAGCGTGAAAAAAAGGTAAGGACAACAGGCACAATAATCACAGCAACATTAAAAGGTCCCTACGCACCTCACCTCATCGTGTTTGATCGACAATATGCTGTGATTTATGTAAAAAATCATGGTATCTTAGAAATCGGGGTGGATATTACCTTACAGCGTTGAATTTTCCGGTACGTTTTTGCCGTTGGTCATACCTTGCTTTTCCTGAGCAACAAACGTTTGTTGCCGAGCAACATTTTTTCAAATGCCCAGCAACATTCGAAACGGCCTTGCCGCCCCCCAAAAACCCCAAAACTGAACATGAATGAACGTGTCGCGGAAAAGGAAACAACAGACAACGGAAAGAAAATTAGTGTCGAAAATTTGTGTCTGAATTCGGAAAAGTCCGTTGATATAGCCCACAAAAAAATATTCATTTAAATAAAAATAAATAAATAATATATTTTAAAAATATATTCAACATACCTTTGATATAGCTCCACCGTTTGTTAGGGCTCCACCACGCAAACGTTTAGAATCGGTGTATCGGAACGGGGAACGGTCTCCAACGCACACACACACTCTCTCACACGGCTCGGCTGCAGCGATACATACATACACACGGTTGTGATTTGGCGCGGACCTGTGTGCGTGATGAATGTGAAGCCTACAACAAAATAAAAGAAATCAGTGTGTGGTGCAGAGAAGGAGGAGAAGAAGCTGAAAACAGAAGTAGCAAAAATACAAAATACAAAACACACAAAAACAGTGAATGTGAAACATCCAAATACTGCAATTTCCTTCGATTCTAAATGAAACAAAACTAAAGTCTCTTTTGGTTTCCCATATTTCGTTTTGTGGTGTTTGTGTTTGTGAGTGTGTGTGTTTGTGAAACCAGAAAGGGGAACAGCAACAAAAGCAAAGCAAAAGAAGAAGAAAGAACCAGAAAGAAGGAAAAAAAATGTGCGGGAGCTCGAAGAAGAAGCCAAAGCAGATGATGTAAACTTTGTTGTAACCGAAACTTGGCCAGAGAAGAGATATAGAGAGACAGAGAGCGAGCGAGAGTGAAACGAACTCTAGAAAAGAACACTCGAACGGATTTTTCTATCCACACCCCCCACCCACCTACCTACCTACTACTGCTCCATCGTCTTTTCTCTTTGGTGTGTGTGTGAGTGAGAAAGAGAAAGAAAGCTTTTTACAATGCCGGAAACGGAGCACGAGAGCTGCAGCAAAGAGTGGCTACAGGTCCAGCTGCGCTCCCTGGACGCCAAGGAGCTGATCCTGTTGGACTGCCGTGGCTCGCACGAGTACAGCGAATCGCATATCCGTGGCGCCGTCAACCTGTGCATCCCCAGCATTGTGCTGCGACGCCTGGCCACCGGCAAGATCGACCTGGCCTCCACCATCAAATCACCGGATCTGAAGGATCGCATCCAGACGGGTTACAAGCTCTGCCTCTTCATCCTCTACAACGGCGAGGGCGTGGCCGGGCAGCAAGATGTGGCCGGAGCTGGAATGGGGGCCAACGATTCGATTATCAATATCTTGCACCGCCGCCTCAAGCAGGACGGATGTCGCGTGGTCGCACTGCAAGGTGAGTCCCGTCCCCCGTCCTCCTCCCCTGCTCCCATTAATCATCCACAGACATTCCATTCCTAGAAACATTATTTATTTTATTTTTGTTGAACCTCCCTCCCCCGGCACTGCCTATTCCCATAAATAAACATTTTCGTGGATCTATTTATTAATACGAGTATTCCTCGTATTTTCATCTCTCTTTTTGTGTGCGTGTTTTTTTTTGCGGAAAAGAACGTCCGTTCCGTTCCGATCGGATGCGGCCGCCGGGTGTGCGGGAAAAGGGAGAAATTCTATAAATGCTGAAAGATGTAATTCGCATTGCCCCTCCGGCGGGAGGAAAGGCAAAGGGAATGTTGCTGATAAGCCAGAGGCTCGTGTGTCGTAGTAGAGACAGATTAGAACTGCATATAGAATATGCATGGCACACCACAGATCACGACTTTTTATACAATATACTGCCCCGTCGGCGTCTGGGGATTTAAATAGATTTCACCTTCTTGAACTTGTTTTCGGTGTGACACTGCCGACTCGTTTTGATTGATGGAACCCATTATATAAGAGCACATGGATTTATGAATATATGTACATATATACAGCAATAGGAAATGTCCATATATCACGAAATGATGATGATGATGGATTTTCGAATGTCTCGCTGCATAATGAACAATTCTTTGTATACCAATATAATCGCTACAAGAAGTTCTCCTTGTATTTGCTGCCTTATCGAAAATCCGCAATGCGTATTGAAATTCGTACTAATTTCATGCCAGTCAGCCCTTATCCAATGCCGATTTATGCAGAAATGTATTTATAAAATATATTGCTGCTGCTGCTCCTTCTGCAGGTTCCCCCCCATATCAATTAAAGAATATTTAAATTAAGGGGTAGATTAGGGAAGTCGTCAATAATGAAACAAAACAAAGAGCTTTTACCCACTATTGTTGACTAGGTTGCTGCTTTTGTCTGTGTCTGGTGTATATATTGTTCTCATAGATCTCCTCTGGCTCGGGCTCGGGCTTGGGCTCTGCTCTGTCATTCATTCATTCAGAAAAATGTCACTGAGTCTGGGAGAGAATCGACTCTTACAAACAAAGAATCAGATACATATATACCCTATACATATATTGTATGTACATAACTATCTGACTTGACTGACTGACTGACTGGAGTGGCTTCATTTTTATTTTTATCACTTCAATTTCCGTTCTCCGACAAGCAAACCCCCCCCCCGCCACAATTGGGGGATTTTATATAGATACATATGTACATATGTGTTTGTGTTTGTATGTGTACCCCTTGGGGCTCTAACCCCCATATCCAAAAGCTGCTCAGATCCGGCGTACGCACGTTCTCTGCCTCTTTCTGCTCCATTCAGAGCGTCGACTCGTCGTCTCGCCGTCTCTGCTAATATCGCAAATTGACAATAGAGCATCCATCCCATCCCCCCTTCTCCGCCGGCCATTGTTTGTCGATTTCATTTGATGGAAACAGAACTGGAAAGGCCAACAAATTAGCATAACATAAATCCACACACTGCTAGACGTATGTACATATGTAGGTATCTATGACGTCAAGAAACACACAAAAATGGTACAGGACTGTCCATCCGTAAAGAGCAGAAATCTACCTGTGGCACGGCACACACACAACACACACACACACACACAGGTAATTAGGAGAATTGTGTCCCGGAAAAAGATTGTTTTACGACTGGGCAATACCATGGAAACACACACCCGATTATCCGAAACAAAAACCAAACCGATCCTCTTGACATTTGCCCAAAAATAAAACGAACAAAAGAATGGGAGATCGAGCGTGAAAATCCTGTGTCACCTTTTAAAGGATTCCCTTCGTTGAAGTGTCCTTAATGATCGTCCAAATAGTAAATGAATTTTCTGTGCTTCAGCCTGTTGAATGGAATGGATCGGATCTCTCTCTATATTCCAACTTTTATGACATTTTCCAAAAATGCAATAGAAGCAATTTCACAATTTGCCAAAATGAAACGAAGAATACATATATGTACATATGTACATATATGTATATGTATGCATATATTGTTTCCCCATATACCATAATGTTTGCTGGGTTTATCTTATCGTTGGGTTGGTCTGAGCGCTCTGGGTCTCCGAAGAGGGGGTGCTGGAGAGCAGAGAGCAGAGCACAGAATGTTTTATGGCATGCAAATGCATAAAAAGAAAACAGCTGGGCTGTGGGGTAGATGGAGGAAACATTGTGACACATATTCGTAAGTGGAATCTATAAGTATATATGGTTGGACTCTGGAATGCGTTTTGAATTGGGCCAGGAAGTAGGTACAGAGCGGAGCAGCGGCAGGTTTTTAGTGGAAAATTACAGCGGAAGCTTGGTGGCGGAGGGGCAAAAGAATTATACTATAGATAAGAATGGTTGCAATTGGAGCAGAATGAAGGAACAAAAAACATTTTAAAGTTTAAACTAGAGCATATAACAGCGTCTTTCAGCCTCTTTCAAGCATCTGTTTTATCCTCTAAGGCTTCACTCTCTCTAAGGCTAAGGGGCTAAGGGGGTTGGACCTATTTGTATGGACCAAAGTGCGGTCACAATCCTTGTTGTGTTCATCAACTTTTTTGCCCCACCCCCACTCTGTGGCAGGGAACTCTATGCCGCTAATTAACCTTGAAATTGAATCAAGTCCACGCAATTATGGGGCTCTTTGTGGCCTGTTCCTGCCTGGGATGCTGCTGCTACGACCAGATTCCGGTTCAAGCTTGGCAGCTTCCAGGACCCCTGACCAGGACCAGACGAATGAAAACACTATCAAGTCGTTGGCAGTTGTGCGAGCGGAGAGGTGGTGGGGATCGGGGGAAAATGCATAATGCATGTCGCGCACGCGGGATTGCTCCAGCTTCCAGCTGATGTTGAATTCACTTTAATTAAATGCCACTTTGTATGCATTTCTCGGAATTAAAACAATTAAGATGGGGCCAACTATGGCAACCAGCCCAGCGATGCATATAGGAAAGTCAGCTATATGCTACACAGATTCACATACATATATGATATATGATGATATATATGTATGTATGTATGTATGGCTCGAGTTGGAGCATTATGTATGCCATAAACTAAGCATTTCCGTTGACAGAATTTAATTCAATTAGATTTAGCAGAGTTTCAAACCATTCCATTCCATTCCACTGATCAGAGACTCTCGCCTCGCCTCGCTCTCTTTTTTCTCATTTTTTTAGGAGTGTGGAGAAGAAGGGAGTCAATGAACGATGCAGTTACGAGAGAGTGTCTGTCTGTCTGCGTTTCTTTCCCTCTCTCTCTGTCTGTCTGTGTCTGTCTTCTCTCTCTCTCTCTCTCTGGTTGTCTTTTCTTTATGGCCAGAGGCGGATACAAAGCTCCACGTTTATCGCTGGACCCGACCGTCTTCTTGCGGCGACCCTTTTATAGAAATTGAACTCGAGCTACTGCTGCTGTTGGTGTTGTTGCTGCTGTTGCTGCTGCTGCTGCGCCTGCGCCATAAAAAACAACTTCAGCTCGAGCTCTGGCCACTGCATTTCCACGCATTGCATTGCATTGCATTGCTATGGCATTGCGCGGCTTTTTCCCCCAACTGGCTTTTCACTCCTCTACATATTTGTGTGTGCGCCCCCGGCCACATGGGAGAGTTGTTTGCCTCATTTGCTGTTTTTAACGAATTTGTTGAACAAGTTTTTGTTTTTGTGTTTTTTTGTTTTGTTGGTTTATTTTTTGGGCCTAAGCAATTTTCACAATGTTTTCCACACTGCGAGTGAAAATCAGTCGCAAACACGTGGCATCTGCCATCTCCCAACATCAACTCATCACACACAAACCAAGGCCACAACCGACCGGACCGGACCGAATCAACCGAATCGACCGAATCTCTCATTACGATTTCATGATAATTCATCACAAAAGCCAGTGGGCTCCCCCTCACTCCGTTTGCTGATGGCTGCTGCTGCCTGCTGGCTGGCTGCCTCATTGAGGGGCAGAGACTACTCTGCCAACTGGTCTGCCTTCACCGACAACACAGAAAAAAAAACAACACCAAGCCAAGAAATAACTGAGAGAGAAACAGTTGGCCCCCGAGATTGCCCCAACAAACCACCTACATACGTGCCAAAAGTCGCTGGGCTCCAAATTTGTTCAACTCAGATTCGTTGCACGGTGGGCAGAAGCGTGTCAATAAGTGGTGAATTTTAAACGGAGCTTTTGCTGCACTTCTAGCTCCCACCTATCCCACTGTGTCCACATTTGTTTGTTGCTGTTGTTGTTGTTGTCTTTGTCGTATGCCCACAGTGAGAGAGACAGTTGGACAGTTGGACGTAGGGCGTTGGACAACAGTTAGAGCTGCGTCGCAGAGGGTAGGGAAGGGGGCTGTGAGAAGAGCAGGGGTGGTGGAGCTGATCGTTGCGGCCTACGGCCAAAATATTGTTGTTGCTGCTGCAGCCGTAGATTTGGGTCAAAGTTTGTGTGGGCTTTAATTAAGCAGGCAGGCGGGCAGCCAGGCAGCCAGACGTTGAGTACACGGAGTGCGAGTGGCCGCAACGACGACTAACTAACGGCGAGACCCACATCTAAGCCGCCACCATTTGGCATCGATTTCGATTCTGCGAATGGCGAATGGCGAATGGCGATGCCGGTGCCGGTGCCTGGGCCTGTGCCGCTGCAGAGGCTGTGCAAATATTTGCAGCAATGCTACCCAGCAGCAATACAACTACAACAACGACTTCCGGTCAGATTATGTGCGGGCGGGCGAGACCAGAGCCGCCTTCCACTCCACGCCACGCCACTCCGCTGTGTTGTGTCCGCTGTCTCCCTTTCCCTGCCGTTTGCTTTGTCGCCTGCATACCTCAGCGTCCGAAGAGCGGAAGTCTCCAGGGCGCGCGCATTTAACACATAAACACCAACGGAGGAGGACTATACTACTCGTGGGGGTCGCACATTTGATACCCTACCCTGGCAGATGGATCGCCATAATATCACATCCGATCTTGCAGC